CCAACGCAATCGGGCTTTAGGGCACATTATGGTACAAATACGGCTCTTTTAAAATTTTGTGATGATATATTTCGGGCAATACTTTGGTGTGGGGGCTGGTGCGTTGCAGTTTTTCAAAAGTTACTTTCCTGATCGGTGTCAAAGAGTATTCTTCAATAACAGCTATTCCAATTAGGTAAATATTCCCAAAGGTGTAGCACAGGCTAGTATTTTAGGTCCGATGCTGTTTTCCGTTTATACCTCCGACTTCTGTAAATTTATTAAGCATTGTTCCTCCCATCAGTACGCAGACGACACTCAAGTATATCTCTCTTTTAATTACTCTCAAATTAAGACCGCCGTTGATAATATAACCAGTGACCTACGTGCTCTCAGTGATATTTCTAGTAAGCACGGTCTGTTACTTAACGAAAATAAGACGCAACTCATAATTTTTGGTAAAGATAAAGGAAAAATAATTAGTCTAGACGCTGCCAAAATTTACTTAAATGACCTTCTCTTACGGCCGGTTGCCGAATGTAAAAATCTAGGTCTGCATTTGGATAATAATCTGCGTTTTGAAGGTCACGTAGCTTCATTGATACAGAAATCGTTTTACAATCTTCGGATTCTCTACTGTAATAAAAATATTCTGGACACAGCAATTAAGTTAAAACTTACCCATTCTTTATTTCTCTCCAAAATTTCATACTGTATGTTAGTTTACTGGCCTGCCCTACTTCAAAAGGACAAGGTTAGTCTTCAGCGTCTTCAGAATACCTGTCTCAGATTCTCATACAATATTCGTAAATTTGATCATATATCTACTAGCCTAGACGATTCCCGCTGGCTAACATTAGACGAACGTTTTAAGTGGCAGCTTTTAGTCTTAATTAAAAAAGTAATATCTCTCCAACGTCCGACGTATCTTTTTGACAAACTTACTCGTGGATCAGATATACATTCGGTTAATACTCGCCATAGGAGTTCCCAAACATACTTCAGCACAGTTTCAGCGCAGTTTTACGTACAATGCTATCAAGGCTTACAACAAACTCCCTCTCCAACTGAGGTCAATCACCTCGCTAACTTCATTCAAACAAAAACTTAAGCAATACATTTATCAAAATAGAGACCGATCATAAAACTAGTAACTATCAAATTGTATATACGTATTTCTTTTTTGAATTCACTCTAGCAATGTCTACCATTTTGAATGAATTGTGTCATATACTTGTTTTAGGGAGTTGCACGAGAGCAACTATGTTGGATGCCGCCCCCACAGTTATATATTTTTGTATATATCTCCGTCGAAACCGAATAAAGGCCCTTTATTGTTATTATTATTATAAGTTGATGAAAAAAAAAGCTGAAATGAGTATGTGGTCGCCGAACTGATTCTTATAAGGAAAATAATATTATAAATATAGTAAGATTTTAGATCTCCAATTGTTTTTTTTTATTTTTATTTTTTATTTAGACATTTTAAAAATGTACTGGAAATTCCGAGAATGCGAATATGGAGGACATTACGTTCAAATCACTATGATCCCTACAAAATCCAACAAGACGGCCGCACATCTTTATAACGGATAGCGTGGATAGTAGACTACCTATACCGTGTCCTGCAAGAAGTCCAGATATAAATTGACTGGATTACTTCTTACGAGGGTATTTAAAAAATCGTTTGTATAATTAGACCCCCAATGACAAATGAACTACGGCTTGATTTAGTTCGAGAAATCAGAGCTATTTCTGCTCGGTGTATTCAATGTACAATACTAAAATTCCGAAGGATCGCAAAATGCATTGAAGCATATGGCTTTTAATTCGATTCAATTCTAGGCTGTATTATTACCTACCTAACAGGATGAAGGAACATTTATTTCTCAATATTAATTCTTCTCGGGTTCTCAGTTATTTTCTTGTAAAAAAAAAAACATTTTTTTTTTATATTTATTTTAAAAACGTCTCTTTTTTATACTATAATAATTAACTACTAACGTAAAATGTACTTAAAACTGTAACATTTAACAAATACGTCTAGACAGACTGACATGGTAATACTTTTGTTTCATGACAACATTATTTTTGTGTGTAAATGCTGATAATACAGAAACTTATGAAGCAACTATGAAAAAAATGTTGAGAAGGTCCATTCAACAACCAGCATGGCCGCTGACAGATCGTCACTAAGTTTGAATGCGTCACTTTAAAGGCAGTTTTCTCAAAATATGTCTAACCCTCGTTAAAAGTTCTGGGTAAAAGAGTTAATTGTGTAGTAATAGCTCAGAGAGAAAATGGAGCCAAGTGCAGTTAGTAGGTGGGTGGAAAATCATTAACTTCTCTTCGAAAATATCAATGCCGACTGCAGCGCATCTAATACCTATATGGTGTAAATTGGGTTTTATTGACAATTTTAGGACGGAATTACTTAGTAAATCATTACGTGTGTGATACGTATTTTATTCAAAATAACGAGCTCCTTCGCAATACTATTGTCACTCTGAGACTTAGGTCGGATCGTATGAAGAGTACTCTCATGCCCATAAATGTTTTTCTCAACAAAATTTCTTTCAACACTTGGACGTAATACGGAAATGTCGCTATAATGGACTATGCGATCATGTAGCTAAATAGTGGGCACAGCACGCAACCCTGTCAGACTCCCCTCTTAATCAGTACGTCATCTGATGTGTTTTGCTGAATATTAATTAACCACTGTTGTTTGTCGCCAGTAGAGTTCCGAGATAATATGCAAATGCAGAACTCGTGTGGAGACTTCTAATACTAGTTTTACACTGACAATAAATTCATGAAATAATTGATGAATTTCTTCCGGCTTTACACTGGGAAGGGGCTTCGTCAATTTATTTGAGGTCTCAAAATGCCATTTAACAGTTCAGCCAACATATCGTTTTTTGAGGTTATGTTTGAGTATTTTTGTTTCGGATTAGTGTTTAATTATTTAATTGAAATTTTTAAGCCCCAGTCTGTTATTCGAAAAAGAAAAAGAACTAGAAAAAGAAATGCGGCCTCAGCCCTGGTTCTGGCTACGTTAAGTTATTTTATTTTTTCAGGATGCTAATTATAATTATACTGTTGGTGGGGTTATTAATTACTATATTTATATTAAAAAAATTAATTGTGCCAGTCTTTTTCAGGCAAATCCAGTTACTTACTTTATGCATGCATTGCAACAAATTAAAAGAAACCTAGTGCCCTGTTAAATAATTAATATTTTTTAGACTCCTTGCGCAACTGCCTAATGGCTTAATATAGCACAGGATTTAAAAAAAAAAGAAACATTCCCAGTGTTATAGGTGCCCTGGATGGGAAATAGGTTGTGTTTCGGGCTCCTCGCGTTAGTGGACGTTAACTATAACTTTATTTATGTTGATGTGGGAGTTAATGGACGAGTTTTTTAGCATCTTTGGCAAAAGCTTTAGCACATAATAACTTTAACATACCTGTCATACTGTCATGTCTTCCAGGAAGATAAAAATTAGTTTCTCGAGATGCAGCTTTTCTACCCAGTAAACACATTTACAAATTTGACTAGAGAAGAGAGAATTTACAATTACAGGTTAAGCCGGGCAAGGCGAGTTATAAAAAAGACTTTTGGACAACTTTTGAATAATAGCTTCTGGGTTTTCATAACAGCTATTAATAATGTTCAAAAAATTCAAGATATAATTTTGACTTGTGTTCTTCATCATTTTTTAAGATAGAAGAAACCCTCTTCCATACAAGATGGGGACATTGGGATATATTTTGAAATATGATTTAACACAGCAAAGTGCTAATAGAGGAAAAACCTCCTGTCTGTCAGCTCGGGAAGAATTAAAAGAATACTTTGCGAATGAATACCTTGGCAACACAATGCAGTTTACATTGACATTGTAATCTTCACGTATTTGAAAAAAATAAAGAAATTAAAGAACTGAATTTTTATTTTGTTCGGCTTTAATCTATACCGTATATGTCTTTACAAATGAACTCACCTCTTCCTAGATCTAAGAGGTAAAAAAGCATGAATATTTAAAAGATTATGTCATATCAATTTTAGTTTGTAAAATGTTTAAACATTTTTGCTTGAAAGGGGAGATGTTATGTCAGTAAGTGAGGCTGAAGTTATTATTTTTCGGGCCAAATTTATATATAGAAAATATCTTGTATACTGAACTTCTCTAAATAGACCAACATTATTAATACGTAGATACAATAGTTGTGTGCAGTCCTGCGCGGATGGAAGTATGTGTGCTGGTGTTGATCCGACTGTTCATCCATTGGTGGTTTCACCATAGAGTAGAATCGTTTGCCTGACGTTTCTCCAGAAATTCATCTGACATCTCCAGAGGCTGCGCGTCACAGAATCATGGGCTCTTAACAAATGAAAATGGACTACGACTAGCTAATGACCTCCTACCAAACGTAACTTTAACCAAAGTTGTTCTGAACTTTACAGAATGGTGCAAAAACCTTGGTTTACTTCGAGATTGCAATTTGCAATTTGATACCCATGTTTCCTCATTAATTCAAAAGTGCTTATTTGACTTATCCTATGCTTCCAGTGTTTATTCGCTTGCTCTTAGGCAGAAGGACTAAATTAGTTTGCACCAGCTTCAAAATGCCTGCTGCAAATTTTGGTCACATATCAGATACGTTCAGTCACAGCTCTTACTTATAGGTCACAAAATGATTAATCTTAAGGAGCCCAAATTTTTATTTGCTAAACTTGTTGGCTCGTCGGATATTAACAAGAGGAATACACATTACTGAGATTTATTCACTATTCAAAAGACACAGCACAGCTCTTTTCCAACGGAGTTTTACTTACACTGCTCTTAAAAACTGCCATAAACTTCCACAGAACCTCAAACTACCTGAACTGTAGAAGATTTTACGAGTGATTTTTTTTCTTTTCCTTTAAGTTATATTTCTCCTAACATTGACTGCCTGACATATTTTGATTTGTTAGTGAAAGAAATATATATTTTTTGTTGAATTAAAATTATTACCTGTCGCTGTCGCTGGCAGCGGAATCGGGACGAGTATCCAGCAGAGTGTTGAGGGAGCTGGTGATGTCCTCGTCGGCTTCGGCGTTGGCTGCGCTGACACCGCCCGTGGTGTTGGGAAGCTGCAGCTGGTCCTCGCTCCGGCTGGTACGAACGTAGTTGTTTGGAACGTATGGATCTTGGGGCGAGTGTTGGTGATGGTCTCTCTTGTTGGCACTGATGGGGGAAGTGTTGGCGGAATTGGAGTCGGACGATGTACGAACCACCCGTCCCACTTCCATCTCGTTCGGACTGTTTGGCACCGATTTATGCTGCGTCTGCTCTTGGTGTCGAAGGTGGTGTGCGTGACTATTATGATATCTCAAGTTGTCAATCTGCAAATTAATGATCTTCATTTACACGAAAATATTAAAAATTTTCAAAAAAAGTATTCACAAAACGTATCTAAAGATCTGAGCATTCTGGAGTGATTTTTTTTTTAAATAAGTTGGAAAAAAAAGGTATCTCACCGTAGCCGTTCGTTAGAAGTTTTTTTTTTTCAAGCACACCTATATATTTTTGGATAGTAGGATGCAATTCTGCATCGATTTACAATAAATTTCCTTATAGTTCAAGGGTAATGTCATTATCTCAAATTTGTTATCAAAAGTCGATGTATCGGGTGAATGCTTTTACGCTTATTAGTAAAGATAAAAAAATGCGTTTTTCGCGACACTATTCTATTATTTTCGAGAAATACACCATACTTATATATTTTTTAATGCTTCACCCAGTATATTTTTGGATAATACAATTGTGTTTGTCTAGAGCACCTGAAAAATATATAGAACTTTATGATTCATTTTAATATTAAGTCTAATAAAAGTGGAAATGAATAAACAATTTTTTTTGCGTAGTTGTTGATTATAAAAATTATCTTTTTAATTTAAAACAGAACAATTTTGCCAATTTTTATTTAACCTAAAGGAAATACACATCTTTATACCCCTGATATAATAATTCATTATTGATTTGTTTTGTCGAAACAATTGTCATGTCATAAGATATAATTTCGTGAAAATCTGAACTTTTAGTTTTTATTTATTTTGATAAATGGATTTTCATCAAGTAAAAGCCACCTCAGTTCAAAATATGGATTGACAAAAAAAAGCTCAAAATAGGCACAGGAAAAGTTATAGCAAACCAAGACATAATTGAGTTCTGCAACCAACCATCCAACAATATATATGGTGTCTCATTAGAAAAAATATTTTTTGATTCTGAAAGTAAACAACCTGAATGCGACACATCAATTATCAATTCGGATTACAAACGTGTACTCTCCTGCCTTGGTTTATTATTGCAGAAGCGTTTAGAGAAGTAGAGAACGAGCAAATATAAATACAGACGTTACATCAAATTGATTGTCGTGTGTATAGTAACTCAGTTGATTGTTTAATTAGAAACGAAACAATATTACATATGCCTTAATATACACCACGATCTAGTTGAAATACTTGAAAAACCAATGGCTGCTCTAATTTCAAATTCTGACGTTCGAGCCATTAGGCCTTGCGGTTTCCAGTAACCAACCTGGCAGCTGGCAGGTCGTCGATGTTCGTATGGTGCATTTTTGCGGCAGTATTTTCTCAAAATATGTCGAAATTAAATTTTCAGGCAAAAAAAGGAATTAAGGTGTGTTAAAAAAATAGCGGGTTGCAGGGTTAATATTATGCTGAATTACAGCACACGGATATAGTATATTAGTATAATTTTGTAAGTAATTTGGCGTTTTGGTTTTTTAAGCGCTATAAACACGATACAAGCTAATTTTTCACGAATTTGTGCCCGTAAATCGGCGCAAACAGTTTGTTTTTATAAACTTATATGTTTAAAATCTATCGAAAATGTAAATACAGTCGAATTCTCTAAATGTTACTCTTAAAAGTGTAAATATAAGTTTGAGGTACTAGATATCGCACAGGAAACATCTAAGTGGAAAAAATGGTCAACAAGCACTTCCTATAGACAGAACGCTCATTTCGCAATTCTAGTAAGGCAAGTACAAAGCTTCGCCTTCCAAATATATAATTATGAAAAGTGCCTATGGACAATTTCGTTAAAAAAACTGTCGGTATTGCAAAATATAACCGAGAAAATTAAAAACTTGTATAAAGCAAGTAAATAAACACTTAGCACTAAATGTAAGATAATTGCACAGAAATTAATATTATTAGGATATATTGCATTTTATTCAGCACTTTCATTAGTATCGCCATTATGGATTTTTCTTATACACCCACAAGTTATGTGATAAAAACATTTTTGCAAGTTTACGCATTTAGCACTAAAAAAAAGCTAAAAAGTTTCCGTTATTGTCTCAAAATTTAAAAAACATTTTGCTCGCAAAAATTACATGGTGGCTACCGCAAAAATCCCCGGTTAATATTTAATTGTTATCTCCTAAAAACACATGTAGAAATTGCATTGTCTAACGGGCTTTAGAAACTAATATCAATACGCACAATAATTTGGCCATATTTTATTGATATGTGGATTCAAATGTAGATAACTAAAAATTACTTTTCCAGAAATTCTCGGGAAGTTTTAAAACGTGTAAGCTCACATGAAACATTCTAAGAGGAAGATGTCCTATAAAGAAATATTTTTTCCAGATGGCACACTTCAGATTTGTTTTGTAGACATGATTGTGGTTTATGCCACAACTACCTTACCATTAATAATAATAGCATTTTAAATAGTGTTTTTTTAACTCGTTTTGAAACTCACAGAAATATAGTGGCGCGTAAAGAACAAACACAATGTAAATATATAAATGAATAAATAAATGAATTATTTCATAAGACCCTTATTGAAAAGAATAAAATACATTGCTGCTTATAAACGCAATCAGAAATTAAATAAAAACATATGCTGCCTTTTTCATTAACATAATATTTATTTTATATTTTTATTCAGTGTTACTCTTTTCAAGGAACTGTGATATTACTTGATTTGAGAGCATCACCACCGATAAAAATTGTAAAAACGAAGATGAAAGCAATAAAAAAATTGTTCATTTATTGTTCATACTTCATATATAATACTATTGTTAATTATTAGTAGAATCACTAAAGCAAAAATTTCATTAACTATAAATTCGAAACAAAATTTAAACCAGAAGCACTTTACTTGTTGACAATATGTTACTGTGCTTTAAGTTATTTTTAAAAACTGATGATCATTGGTTATTTTGTGGCAGGCTTATCTGCAACTTGTAATATTGTTTTGACTACCACTGAGGATTAAAGATCTATTGGTGTCTGCCCTAGTTTTAGCTAGACAAGAAATTACAAAAATTTCTCTTATGTTCCAGATGGAAAATTTTCATATTCACAAATTATGTGTAGAATTTTTAAAGCTATGAAATTTTTGAACGAAAAATATCAATATTTTATAGCGAAAAATAGTTGGGAGCACATTACCAACAAAATAATATTTTTTAAGAATGTGGAATTATTTGATCATTTGATCAGTCAGGTTAGATATAGAAAAAAAATATTGCTAAATATGGGCTGTCAGGTCCAACCGGCAACTAAATTGACCAGAAAACAGCTGATAACAATATCCACCTAAAAGATACTGCACTGCCTACTTTATTAAGAGTTTACCACCTCTTCTACAGCTTAAACTAGTGATGTGAGCCCCACATATGGATGCTCTCCTAAAGTTATATGAGGCAACTCCATTTTTGACAAGGACTAAAAGAGCTAAAAGAAAAGGTAAATTGAATGAAACTGCCTGGATAAGTGATAATTATATAAAAACTAGGAAACAGACATATATGCAAAAAAATGGGATGGAGAACACGTATCAGTGCCATAACTTGTTGGATTCCTCTTGCGTCGGTTTTTGCTGAGTCGAACTTGCTGACGTTTCGCCAATCATCCTGTTGGCTTCTTCAGAGGCTCGTATTTTACTCTGTATATTGGGGACAGGTAGAGATCCAAGTCGCGGTTAAGATTGTTGAGAGATACACTCCACCACAATCTTCTAATAGCAATAAGGCCGAAAGCAATCCTACACTTGCCAGTGTGGTCCTTCCTTACATTCAAAACGTCACTGACCACATATAAAAAGTTCTAAAGAAGTATAACGTGAAAACCAGATTTACCACTTGTCCAAAAATCTCTCAACATCTTCGGTCCGTCAAAGACAAAATTCAATTTGAGATGCCATGAGTTTACAGCATTCCATGCAATGCAAAAAATACATGGGAAAGTCCGGACGAAAAATATCAACTAGGCTCAAAGAACATGAAAGAGCCTTATGACTAAGACAAATAAATTCATCAGCTGTTGCCGAACACACTCATGAAACCGGACAAAAAATTTTATTAGATAAAACTAAAATTCTTGCATGTAATCAGTTCTTTTACCAACGAAAAATCCGAGAGGGTATAGAAATCTATAAATAATCTAACAATCTTAACCGCGACTCAGGTTCTCCCTGTGACCAATATCCCACCATCCGAGTCCGTGTTTATGCCCCTCATTTAGCTCCGCCCCCTATAAGCAGATACAGAGTAAAATACGAGCCAATTTCAGTCAAGCTCTGAAGAATCCAACAGGATGGTTGACGAAACGTCAGCAAGTTCGCTTCAGCAAAAACCGACGCAGGAGGAATCCAGAAGTTTTGTAAAAAGTATTACAGTAGCCTGTGGAAGTTTCTTTGAAAAAAAAAAGAAAAACTTGTTGTAGTAAATAGTTATTCACACAAGGGAGGTAGGTGATACTTACGACTTACGAGTCAAGGACAAGCAAAGGATTTCTTCTTCAAAAGTTGGTGCATATAATAGTTTGCCTACTTAAGTTGTCCCGAATCCAACAGGCAGACTAATAAAATCAGTATTTATTGATAGAATTGTTTCTATTTAATCCGTGTCAAATTGTGTGTGTACGTACTGCAGTATTCCTTTCCTCCCTAAGGAGGTAAATAAGTTACCCACAAATGAAGTACCCCAAAATTTTGAATAGTTGCATATCATTCCCGGAAATTCTCAAAAATTTCCTTTAATCCCTTCAGACTTCCCAAAAATATCTTAACGATATATCGTTTAAATCCTTCCTGTTGCAGCTGAACTGATTCTTATATTTCCTGTAATTCTTGTACACTAAAACATTATCCGACCATCTTTCTTATGTAGCAATTTAAGTGTACCTATAAATATAGGGAATTCTGTTTAGTAAACGGACATTTATATGCAAGTCTATTTTGCAGTTTGTTAAATCACTCGGGTTTGTCTAAGATCCTATTAGGTCCTCATATTTGTTACACTTGCTGCAATTTCGTGTTGGAGCAAGTATTGAAAACACAAATTAGACAAGTTTGTGAGTGGGAGTCCTATAGACACCACTTTTAAATCTTTTAAATTAACTAGTACATAAGGCAACACTTACTCGTGTATAGGCACTTTGTTTTCCTTACAGTTTTGACCACAAACACAAGAAGTTTTTCAGAAAAACACGAAAAAGCTACGGATATAATCACCAACACCAAAAATGAATACAACCATTTCACAGATTGTTAGTATTCTCTGACAATAGCAATTACCTAGTTCGGCGTTGCCAGTTGGGTGGTTGGCGTTGCCAGTGGAGGTGACGCATGAGCAAAACACCTTCTGTATGAAAATATCACAGTCACCTGCTTCGCACCCATATAGCTATAAGATAATATAGTGCCTGCTACGTTAGAGAATGATGCGCCGCAGGTGGCTGTGATATTTGCGTAGAGAAGGAGTGGATGTTTTACGCATGAGTCACCCCCAACTGACTGTTGTTGGTTAATTTTTATTTTTATATGTTACCAACTTTTTGTAAGTCAAAAATATTGATATTTTTCTTGCAAAATTTTGAATTTACAGTTAATGAAATTTTTGATTTAGTTACTCTACTAACAATGTATTTTATTATTTTCAATAAAGGCCTTATTAATTAATTCATCTATTTATTCATTTATATTTGTATATTGTGTTCGTTCTTTGAATGTCGGGAGCTTCAAAATAAGTCAATAAAACACTATATAAAATGCTATTACAATTAAAGGTAAGTCGTAATTTTGGCTTAAACCACAATGATGTCTATAAAACCACAGTCTTGAGTGTGCATTTGGATTTTTTTTAATAGGACATCTTCCTTTTAGACTTCCATGTAAGTTTACACTTTTAAAATATTCCGAGCAAATTAAATAATAGCTAAATTTCTACATGTATTTCTGCATGTATTTTTAGCAGATAATAATTTTTAACTGGCAATATTTTGATGGCAGACAAAATGCATTTTTTTTAGCAAAATGCACTTGCTTATTTCGACGCCATTTCGTTTTTGAAATTATGATACAATAAACAATGTGGCTAGACTTTCTGCAAAAATGTTTTTACCATGCATATGATTTGTGGGTGTATAAGAAATATCCATAATCCCAATACTAGAAATGAGAGATATGAGGATGTATTTTGAATCGCTAAAAAAATGTAATATATATAATTATATATAATATATAATTATATTATAATTTATTAATTCTCCAAAACTAACTTGTTCATAATATTCTTTGATTTTTTTGGTTATATTTTTCAAAACCTATAATTTTTTAAACAAATTGTCCATTCGCACTTTTCATAATTATATACTGCGCCAATTGGCAAGCAAAAATTGGAAAGAAACTAGCTTACATGAAAAAATACATGTAGTACATGTACATGCATCGTATCTACAGAGCTTAAAAAACAAAAATGGCAAATTAATTACAGAATTATATTTATTGATGCCGACGTGGCTTATGCAATTCTGTACTGCTTTTCCATATCTTAACTCCTTTCTTGCCTGAAAATTTAATAGAATCTTGACAAAATACTGCCGTAAAAATGTCGCATAGAAAAACATTGACAATGTATCAGCGGCCAAATTTTAAAACTCGCGCAACCGCATGTTGAACGGAATTTTTTACATAGTTGCTTCATGAGTTCCTATATTGTCAGCAAAAGCAGGGCCCCGATGTGTCTAGTAGCTACATGAGCACATCACTTTTTACCGTAGTAGGGTCACTATATTTTCTTATGAGTGTACCCAATATAAAAGGATAGGATAGCATGGGGTATCGGACACCCTAACAGATATCTATAAAAAGGTGTTTATTACATTATTAGAACACTTTTTTAAGAAGAATATGATGACATAAAGGGAAACAGAATTGTTTAATTTGTTTTCGAGATACACGGTAGATTTTGGGCTCTTTTGGGCGCCATATTAAATATTTTCATCATTAGATAGAGCCCTAAAAATGATTTTAAATGACTTACCACATGACGAATTTATCATCATTCGTAAGGTCTCGAAAACAAAATTTATTTATTTTTTAGAGCACGATCGGTCTCACCAGACATTGGGAATAACACAAGTTTTGACAGTTCAATTAAATTGCAAGTTTTGACGGTCCAATTAAATTAAATTAAAATATTAAGTCTTAATTATAGTTATTCTCGGTTTTTTAAATTTGAATTTAGCTTTAACAAAGGGGATCCATTCAAATCCAATTGGTCTTTAAGTAATAATATATTTAATAATATTATTAATAATATTAGTAATAATATGTTTCAAAATTGTGCGGTTTTGAACTTGAATGAATCACATAATTAAAATCCTAACTTTTAATTTTTAATGCTTTTATTTAATACGTTTCTTGAAAGTTTCTCGCATTTTAACCTGTAGTCTCCGAATTTTTGAGCTTTTGTCATTTGGTTTTATTGGTTTGTAAATATTTTCCAATAGTAATGAAAATAATTTAGGATGTTGGGATTCATAATTAAGTCAGATTATTTTCTTTATCATTAAAATGTGAAGAATCTGTAATTACTGCTTCGATTTTTTTTCTATAACATAGTGGTACAATATTGTATATGTTGATATAGGTTTGCTTTAAGAAACTGGTTTCTGAAATATGTCTAAGGAATCAATGGATGACTGTTTATTTTTAATTGATTTTACTAAAAACATTTGGTGAGAAATCTTGATATGTTGAGATTTTATTACATTAGCTAAAATAAGTTTAAGTTGGCCAGTTCACACCTAACAAAAAACGATTTAACTCCTCAATAGTGTTGTTCGAATACTTTAATTTTTTAATTAATTTTATTCGGCTTTCTGGAAACATCATAAGAAAGCATTTAATAAAGTATTCAATAAATAAGTCCCAAAAAACCAAAAAATCCGGAATCTACAGGTTGAAAACTAGATTATATCCTAAAATTTATACCCAACAGACAGGTAGGACTTTCAAGAAACGCATTAACGAACTTAAAAGAGCGTATAAAAATAAAAGTCACGATTCTAATTAACCATTTATTCAATTTCAGAAATGCAAAATTATAATAACAACTTTCATATTTGACATAGTGCATCAAACAGCTGCAAACTACACTTATTGGAAGCAATGAAGATTAACAAAATGAGATTTATTTATTACTTAATGGCCAATTGGATTGGAATGGACACCTTTTGCTAAACCTACATTTAAATTTAAACACCCTACAATATAGAACTACCACTCTTAAAGGTACTGTGTTGCCAAACAAGCTAAATCGATAAATAATTTGCGAAAATCTAAACATTACGTAATTTTTTTTCAACGAAACTTCTAAAGACTATTTGTACTACTATTTACGACGTTTCGCCAATCATCCTGTTGACTTCTTCGGAGCTTAACTGAAACTGGTTTGCATTTTACTCTGTGCCTGGTTATATACTGTTTGAGAGGGGGTCTAAGTCGGGACATGAACTAACCAAAACAATGTAAACGCTATGTTGATACTTTTATTATTTGGCCCCATGGTCAAGAATATCTCCGAGATTTTCTTAACTATTTAAACTCTACATACCCTAACATACGTTTTATCATTAAATTAAACTAATAACAATCTCCCTTTCTTAGATATAGTTTTAAATTAAAAATCCAAACTGACAATGGGTCATTCTGTGTACAGAGAAACTAAACACACAGACCGATACCATAATGCATTACATCACCATCAGGAACAAAAAGAATCAGATATCAACTCTCTTTTCCTTTAAAGAGGCGTAAAACCCGCACAACCAGACTTAAAACACCTAACATCCGATCTTTTTTCAAATAATTTCCACAATAGAGATATTCATCGTTCCATTATAAAATACACTCCACCACAACTTCCCAAAGAAAATGAGTCCCAAAGCAACTACACCCTTGCAACTATGGTTCTTGCTGATATTCAAAACATTACTGACCACATATCAAAAGTTCATAAGAAGTGTAATTGATCTTTAAGTAATTCCATGAATATGCGCCAAAGAATATATTGGAGAGACAGGATGAAAACTATTCTGAGAGAACATGAAGGATCCTTAGCAATAGGACAATTAAACGCATCAGCAGTTGCCGAACACAATCATGAAACTGTACATTAAATCTTGTTCGATGAAACTAAAATTCTTGTCTGTAATCAATTCTTCTTAACAATCTGAATCGCGACTCATACAAGACAATATCTATGCCCCTCCTTTAGCTCCGCCCAACTCAATCAATATATAAGCAGGTACAGACTAGAACGCAAAGCCCTGAAGAACGAATGATTGACGAAACATCAGCGAGTTCGATTTATCAACAACCGATGCAAGAGAAACCCAGAAGATTTGCAAATAGTATTGCTGAACATAATTTGTTCTAATTTAACTTGTTAAAAGGATTCTCATCAAGAAAAAGTAGCATCAGTTTAATGACGAATTTTTTGACAGTATGAAACAGTATCGCTTACTTTTTTTTGTTGTTTTGGAACTATGCTGGTGGACTGCGGCACCCCCTTCGAAATATTCAAAATGTGTTCCCCCGTCATCATGTATGCCTCGAATTTGGGCTGCTGCTGCTGCCGGTCCCTCTCCACCTGCAGCGGCTGCCACTGGAGCCTGTCGATTTCGCAGGACCCCAACAGGGGCTCCTGGTCAGGGGAAATCGCTGCCACGGCTTGGGGGCAGCGTCCGTTGGTAGCATGGCGTGACCTGTGCACGCCGGGCTCCGGCCTGTTATTACTGTTTAGCTGCTGGTATCCAGAGTTGCCGGTCGAAACCAGGTGTTTGCGAATCGTTGATTTTATCTTCGGGTCTGACGCAACAAGGAGACTCATTATGGATGTTAGTTTATCGGAAGTTTACAAATAAACGCGAAAAGCATTCATTACGACTTCATAAGGTTAGTAACAATAAAATTTCAAATACTGTAGTAAACTAGATCCCCGTTATCCTTTGTTATGTTACTTCACGTTGTATAGGAAGTAATCTCGATCATTTTAAATGGGACAGCTTAACAAATTTGTGGATCAAAAAAATTGTCTGGGTGCTATTTATAGATTCACAGAAAGCAGTTGATGTTCTTTTGAGCAAACTTTCTAACGTGGTATTTCATAAAAATACTCTTAAATTAATGTAATCATATTTGTCTGACAGTTTAATGTTAAGATACAGGATATTTTAGCAACTTTCTTATTTTAAATAGAACACCTTATACATTACTGCATTTTTAATTATCAATTAATTAATAAATACAATTAATTTTTTAATTTATTTTGTATAGATTCCTTGCGGAAAAGAGCTTATTGTGGATATTTTGGAGACAAATAATACAGGCTGGGCAAAAATTAGGTATAACAATTAAATTATAAAAAATATTCTTTTTCTTTTTAATACAAAACCCCTACTTCTATATTTTTATCCAATTTGGAATTAAAGATTAATGTGAGTTCGTATAAGGTGGTCCGTCCAGAAATGTAGATTCAAAAATAATGGACAATTTAACATTTTCCTATTGTAATAATTCTATAAAACGGATGTAGTAGACAATCGGGAATCACAAAAACGAAGCTTTGCAAAACAACATATATTGGTTTGACACGAGTTCTCTGTCGTTGATAAATAATTTGATTTAATTAATTTGATTTTTTCGAAAAATCGAATTTTTAAGTTTTTTATAATTTATTTTTGTACTTCATTTTTGCTCACCCTATATTAATGACGGCCCTATTACACAAGGAATCCATCCAAAACTAAATATTTAAGGCTCCCTTCTAAGATTTTTTTTTCAATTATTTTAGCCTGCAAACGTCATTTTTGGCATAAGAGTTTTCGAAAATGTTTAGACCTAACTATAGAACTTTATTCACGAAATATTTCTATAATTTCCCAAGAAATCCAAAAATACAATAATACACAAGGTGATCCATTTAAAATCAGAATTCTGGTATAAACCGCAGATGATTGCAACATCCTGTATATATGAAAATTTCAAATATCTAGACAAAACTATGCAACTTTTCTATTATTCTTTTTTCATAGTTTCTGGGTTAAGGGGTTAGGGGACCTTATTTCGGATGCACTGTACCTACAAGTTACAGCGATTTCGGAAACATTTTGTTTGTAAGTTTTGTAAGCTCTACTCAAATCCATTCTTACTTTTGCTATATTTGACAGCTACCACATTTTTAAAAAAACTTTCGGCGATTTGCATAAATATCAATTATAATAGAAAATGAAAATTACAAAAGTTTTAGGAAATTCCTAGGTTGACGAAAATATTTTGGCGTATTAAATCGCCATAACCAAAACATTTATGATTGCAAGAAAACCCACATCATAACGAACAAAGACTACAAATTAAGTTTGGGTTCAATGTTTGGTATGGTGTTGTGCGCTCAATAATTCTTTTATTTATTATTATCCTTTTTCATTTTATTCAATTATTTTTAAGTTTAATTTTTAATTTAGTTTAATATTCAATTTAAATTTACAGACCTATCAACATTTACAGTGATATGAACATTATGGCGCCCCGTCCCATAATTCTCAACTAGTTAGACATTGCCAAAATGAAATATTTCCCAATTGCTGGATAGGAAGAAAAGCCTACACGATGCCCCGACATTTCGGTATATAGAGGAAGTTTACAAAATTTGCTGCTGTAAGTGAGATTTTTAATAATATTGATAGGCGATCTATAGGAAAGGAAACGAATTCAGTATTAAGAAGTTAAACTAAACAACGAATTAGAAAAAAAATAAAAAAACTTTATTTTTCAAAATATCATATGCTATATCTAAAGATTTGGAATTGACCGGTCAATTTTTTTTGACTTGAATGTTATATTTATTTATATTATGCGTTACGTCGCCATTCCGTCGTTCTGAGAACTAAATGGATTGAATATTTTTATTGCGATTCCCCGAATCGCGAAGTATCTTATTCGGGTCTTACTTGAAGATTATAATAATGATAGATAACACTCTACAATTGTTATTTAAAGCATTTCTATCGAATTTGACTATTCAGTTATGAAGTGGTCAATTGTCGGTGAATTGTCCTGTCAATTGAAAAGTGGTGAATTGAAATTTCGTAAAACTTCTGATCATTTTCGACTACGATTATTATTTACGAATATTAAAAAAAAAACAACCAAAAATCAGTATTTCTGATATATTGATTGAAGACTCTAAATCAAATTTTAAAAAACTGAAAACGGTTTTGAGAACTTAAAAACTACAATTCTTTGCTGAGATCTCAGTACTAAAAATGAAAAAAATAAACTGTATAATTATGTATGAAAAAAAAATAAGTTACTTAGTGGACCTCAAAAACCGTACATTTTTCTGTTTTCTATTTCACACTAGTCCAAAATTAACATAAAATTTTAACAAACGTGTTAATTAAAATCACGACTAAACTAGGGTTAATTTGTTGGCTGCGCATGTCTAAAGTCGGAGCAGTTGTGTAGTTACGTCACTTAGAGTGACGTAATCAAAAATGATCCGTTTGTCTTAGTTAAAAAAAATTGATTTTGACGCGCTTTTGATACGGATTTCAAAACTGACAACTGCAATTTCTTACCGGCGCGGCGAATACAACACGCAATTAGAGATGTTCCGATACCATTAAAGTATCGATACCTATTCATTTCGATAGTACTCAAATCTTTTTTCGATACTACTCAAATAAATACTCATAAAGTATTATATATATATATATATATATATATATATATATATATATATATATATATATATATATATATATATATATATATATATATATATATATATATATATATATATATATATATATATATATATATATATATATATTATATTAATATATTATTATAAACTGTATATATATATATTATATATATGTATCAGTTTATTATTTTTTTATTTATTTTAAGGAAACTAACAATGAACGTTCAAAAACAATAATTAAAACAAAATTAAGAAAGAAAAGAAAACTTTTATTATAAAGGTTTGCGTCTCGTTAAGCACGTACTTTAAACAAAAAACTCCATGATAACATTGGAATAATAAGCCCATGATTAAATATATAAAATTATTAGTAAGCAATCTCTTGTATGTTTGACAATTTATGTTGGTTGACAATGAAAAAAAATGAAGGGCGGACATCTTTCTCGCTTTTGGCTCGGGCTCGGTCGAGTGAAGTCGGACGAGTTCGGCTTGGCTGGCGCGAGACAACGCGTCACCATAGATCAGATATTATGTTTGTCTGATGCGTTCGGTTTTTTTTTTAATGGTGAGGCTGATTCGATTTGATACCAAGTACTTTTGTTTCGATATCGAGTAAGTATCGCAACATTGATTCGATGCTATAAATACTTGGTATCGAATCAAAAGTATCGAGTACCTACTCGTATTTACTAGTATCGGAATATCCCTACACGCAATCAGCCACCTGACTTATGCTACAGAATGTTCCGTAAGAAACTATGGGTCAGCGCATCAAGGCTGGCGGAGTAATTTGGATTTTTTCGCGCCAGCATTCGGTGTGCGGCAGTTATGGTGATTGTGTTTCTTTAATATCAATATACGCGTCGTTGTGTGAACGTTTAGCTTCAATTGTTGCATTCCATTTTTAAAATCGTTTACAGTTTAGGTGTGGGGTTGCACCCGCGAACCCGTAGTGACTCAGTGTTTTAGTGTTGGTTATTATTTATCTACGTTTACAACAAAATATTTTTAAAATTGTTTACAGACGTAACTGTACAATCGATCTGACTGGACTTTAGATGTATTCTTATTATAAGAAACTATAACTAAACTCCTACTGACAAGACATTTTCCTGTAAAAATAGATTTAAATGTCAGTCCTTTGAAATCAAACTCACAACTTGCGAAAATATCGACAAAAATATCAACGGTTCGTTACGATACACTACAACACGATTAAAAAAGCAGCAAAAAGTATGTCATTAAGGAGGGTTGACACTTGATATGTAACACTGCTATATAGCAAAGTTATATAATATATTTCGTATTTCTCAGTCATATTTAGCAAATTTTGCTGCTCTATAACTTGCTAGATGTTGGCTAAATGGCTAAAAGACAATTCTGGAAAGCGAACTTATGGCTGGTATCGCAAAGACGGCAAACTACGATAGTTTAGATAAAAAATGCATTGGCGACTGTGAGGCGATACCACAAAGTTGGCTTTGACTTTGAAAGTCAAGTTTTTGCTTGTTTTAATAAAGGCTTTATTCGTTTTTCGACTGTGATGTTTAGTGATAACCCAGGACTATGAAATATTTGCTTGTTTTAATTAGTAATAGATATAAATATGACGCAGTGTATTTTTCGTTAAAAAAAAACTGCGTTTATGAAGTTTTGTTAGGGCTATAAAAAAATGATTAAAAGTGATAACTCTGAGGTTAATGTTTTTTGGTACTCTTATCTATTGACTTTCGGTCTGCGTACTTTTTTTTGCTATCAACTGCAAACAACAGAGAAACATTTTTTTAGGTCGCTACAGGTTCAAGAATCAGGAACTCTATAATGTTTGGTGGTTTGAAGAAGAAATATTGGCAAAGCCATCCACTGTTGCCGAACCTTTTTTAGATAGCATAAATGAAAATAAATTGTCCAATACATATAAGAAGTATGTTCATAAAAAAACTACTATTTTTTGCGTTAATGTGGCCGTGTGTTATGAAAGAGACCAAACGAAGTCCGACACGTGCATCAAAAATGAAAAAAGAATTATTTGCTACCAAAAAAGCTCTCAAGAAGCGCTTGCTTTTATACTTGATAACATATTCACGAAACAACAATACTTGGCTATCGGATTGGGTTACTGAGACAACGGCCAAAGTCCCCCTGCAAGATGTTCTTAACCACAACACACAAAGAATTTTACTAATACAAGAAGTTCTCTAGCTCAGATGGCATTATTTTCTAAAATAATGAAATGCCACAATCTCTGAGGTTTTACAGGCCGTTGAAACTGGAATATGTCAAAGAAACTAGAGATCATGTCATGAAAGAGAAAGAAAATCTAGGTAATGAAATTAAAGATCTTCAAAAATACCAAACCTGGATCAACAATTTTCATGTTTTCGTACATTTTGATTTACACTTGACTTTGATTGATGGAAAAATCTTAAGTATTCTCACAAACACTCGTTCAAGTCAGGCATGCCCAATTTGTGTTGCAACACCTGCAAAATTTTTAACTACTAATAATTTTGAAGACTATAACTCTGCAACAAAAGAAAATGCACTTCATTATGTTGTAAGCCCCCTGCATTGCTGGATAAGATTTTTTCAGTCCATCGTGCACTATTTCTTACAGAATTGAATTAAAAATCTGGCAAGTGAGTTGGTCAGAAAATAAGGCATCTTTCATGATAAAAGCTCATCCAAAACCTATTTTGGCCTCATTTAGGATTGCACTTTGATAAGCCAAAAACCAATGGTTATGAATCTACCAAACGACGGCTGGCCGTGTTGCCGTGTTTTTTTAATGCTCAAGAATTCGCAAAAATAACAGGTATTTTGTGACAGTTCGATAAATAGTTTCTGGATTATTCCTATCGCACTCAATTGTCAGCTTCCAATAAACTTATCTAAGTTTGAGGCGTACTGTTTCGAGACTGGTCACATTTTCATGGAAACATGTCCATAGTTTTCAATGCCTGCCGCAATTCACAAAATTATTGTATATAGTAAACAAATCATTCAACACCATGTGTTGCCGATAGGTTTCTTTGGTGAGGAAAGAATAAGATATAAAAGCAGGATAGCAAGTTTCATGCCAGAAAAAGCAACTTGACCGATATATTTAATCGAGCAATGGATACTTAGACCACTTCATATCTTGGTTGTCCCTTAAAACAACAAAACAATATTGAAAGTAAAACAGCAGCCACCTGAAGTTCAAGATTTATTGAATCCCTATGAAGCCAGTCTTCATGAGGATAAATTAGAAGATTGATAGAGTCGTGGAAATTAGACAATTTTTTGGATTCCTTAGAATTGGATAACTTAGAGTTGGACAGTGAACATTTGTGAAGTAGGTAAAATTGTAAATACACATATATGTAGTTTTTCTTTCAGTCAGTGTTTTTGTGCTCCAATGATTTTCCAAATACAATAAGTAAAGCGACTGTAAAAAGCCGCAATTTTAAAAAAGTGTTACACAATATTTTCTTCTCAAATTTAGTCAGTGATGGATACACGCTGATGCATGTCCCACCAGATTCACAGACAGGCATTATATTAGTTAGTTTTTTTAATCAAGCTCTGTCTCTTAACAGAGGTTTATTCAGAGGAGCACATGTACCATTCTGGGATACATATATTGATGCACCTATAAAAAGTATTCTTGCAGTAACAGTATCAAGCAAAACACGTTTCTGAAGTTGATTCACAATAAAAAATGTTAATAAATAATTTTGGCCAAAATAAGTGTGCTGTAGACTACTTTGTGATGGTTTTGATGAAGTGCAATATTTAAATTTTATCAAGGCAGGTATCGAAAAGTTAAGACTATTTGTAAAAAAATAATAGCTCTTATCCACGCATCATTCGTTCATTATTCACTAAATTCCAAATATATGTTGTTTTACAAATTATAATGAGGGTATAGTATGGAAAATAAATATATATGAAAGTTCAAAAACGTGAAATGAAATGAAAAAAATTAAAATAAATAAGTATATTGACGATCTAACACGACACAACTAAAATAATTAAAAGTAGTGATCCCTTTTTTACACAAAAAAAAACAATAAATGAAGAATAGGGCCAATGTTTTTGCAACTAATAGTGGTGTCTTAAAAGAATCCTGTGGGGTTGCTAATCCCCCATCCGGCGCCTCTCCGGGTGGTGGATAGGGAAACGCCTCCTAAGATATAGGTGATACCGGTGAAATGAAATAGCCGGGACGAACCAAAAACTAGCACTGAACAGGGGCAGCTGGCTGTTCAGAACTAACTACAAGCAGGGAGTAAGTATATTCCAAATGGTTGTAGATTAGATAACAAACGGAGCAATGGCAACCACGACAACGGCGTTTGCACAGCGATGAGGAAGGCAACGGGAAAATTAATCCCAAAATCCCAAGAAAGTCACATGATGGAGTCACAAAATGTACGGCCCTCAGTCTCCGGCAAAACGAGGGTGCTAAGAATCCCCGGGGTCAAGAATAAACAACTTTTAAAATTGGAACATGGAATGTGCGCACCTTGTTTGAAGCAAGGAAGATAGCTAATACCATTCGGGAGATGAACAGAAATAATACCTCCATTCTCGGAATCTGCGAAAGCAGATGGACAGGAAGCGAACAATTCAATATGGACGGTGCAAGGGTGTTTTACTAGGGAAATCAAGCAGACAGAGGATACGCCCATGTGATCGCCAACATCCAGTAATGGATGGGCATTCTAAGAAGACGAAAAGAATCCTATTTAACATATTTTGAAAATTTTCCAAAAACTTAATTTGAACTACATGACAATGTTAAAAATAAAAAGGCGCAGATAGGCGCAGATTTTCTTCTTCTTTTCTCTCATTTTCTGATGGAGATTTTACTAATCTTTGCTAAAAATTTTTTGGCAAGCTTTGCAAAAAAAAATAGATACGAAAATAAACTTACTATACTACAAAAAAATTAAAAAACAAAAAAGAGCTTTCGAATTAGGAAAATGGTACAAGTTTTGATAACTTTAGTTACATAGACCAAAAAAACAGCTACTTGTTTTCTATTTAAAAATAAGGTAAAAACATTTTTCACCTTCTGGTCCTGTTACAAAAGATTCCATTGTGACATTTTTTCTATTACCTAATTAACTGGACTATATACAATAGATTTAGATGGTTTTGGTTATCATAGTTAGAAAATAATATCAAGGCGCAATGTCGTGCGAGACCCTCCATCTATATCACCCACCAAAACCGACTTTTTCGCCACTTTCGTTTGTGTTCTTCAAAAATAATGCCTCTTCTAATGTGAACACCACCCGGTTTTCTAACATATAACATGTAATATGTTAAATAGCAATGTTTATGTAACACGTCACAGTGTGGACCCTCCTCTACAAAAAAAATGCTAAAATTGACGGGTTCGGTTCTACCAACTATTATATTTTTTTAATTTGGTTTTAGAGCACAGTTGGTAAAACTGTACCTCCTCAATGAATCGATATGAAATGTTTCTTACCGCGTTTAATTTTAAGCGTAACAGGATCTGAGGATAATCGAAGGCATTTTAGCACTGGAAAAAAAGCAAAAATTTAAAAGCGATGCGCTGAAAAAACCGTTATCAGTAGTGAATATTTTCAAAAATATTTTTGAAGTCCTTCGAATCGCACACATTTGCTGTGGGTGGTGCAAGTCGATGGCGTGTCAAATTTAACAAATCGGATAACAGTGAGCAGTTCAAATTCCGTGAGGGACCTTTACCCGAAAAGCAAAAAATTTTTAAAATTTGTAAATAACTATACGGATGATTTGTAGAATGCGTTAATGAATTTTTTCCACAATCTTTAGCAAAATTGGTAAAAATTTAACTCAAAATAGTCAGCTAATACCCTTTTTCCACACAAGTGAGGTAATTTGCTAGGCGAATAAGAGATTTACTAATGCGCATGCCAGAAGCTATTAAACAATATCCAGAACAGAAAGGACGGTAATTTGACAGTTCCAAATTTCAGAAAGACGCCACATATCAGAAAGCAGCGTCCGGAAAACCAGTCAATAGCAAGTTAAAGGTAACGTTTTTTTTAAGACTTAAAATATGTAATACGAGACGAGATATTTTATTAAGGGTTGTGTAATATGACTTTAAATAGCTGTATCTCCGAGACTACGAATTATAAATATTTGCGGTAAATTTAAAATTAAATTAAAAAATTAAAAATTAATAATTAAAGTGAAATGAATGATTTTTGATTACAAGTTGATAAATAGAAAATCACCACTGTAGTCCTTGTATAATTCTGTAGCTTTTTGATTCGTCACTTTTAAATGTATCGCATGAAATAAGGTCGGGGAAGGGGAAGGTGATTAATTGAAATACCTATAGAATTAGTTTAGCTCAACATATTTGAGGGAATTAGCTCTCGTTTGGGTGAGGAAACCATGCTTTTTAAGAAAAACATACCTCTAACAAACTGGTTTAAATTGCTTCAGCTAGAGGGCGCAAATTCAAACAGTTATTTTTGGCTGCTATTTTAATTTAGGAGAAATATAATGATAACTATTATAGTAAAGCCTGAGAAAAGCCTCGTTCGAATTTTTACACCAAATGTCTTAAAATATTTCGAGCAGTTGCAGGCCAAAAATTTATATACTTACTTCCTATTGTATTATTTTTCATATTATAGTTATTTTAATTGTTGTTTTGATTACTTGTCACAATAAAACATTTATAAAGTTGCCTCATTTTAATAGAAATTTTGGAAAAACATTTAAAAAGCTGTTTACTCCTAAGACGACAGTGAAACAGTAAAAAAAGTTTGTCACATGTATATTTTGTTCTTAATAATTTAATTTCAACGACACCTAATTTGCGTCCCCACTGCTACTGCAGAATTTTACAAGGATTACGGTACTTGAATTTATTTATAAACTAATAATAAAACTTTATTTTATTATATATTTTTTTTGTATATTTGATGTATATTCTTCTCCTTTATTAATCATGCCATTGATCATGCCCCAAGCCTCCTTCTTTGGGAATTGAAAAATGGCTCAAACAATAATGTCATCGCTGCCGTGGTTTTTTAGATACAAGGTGATTTTGAAATTTTGCATTTCTACACATCCTTTGCATTTCGGTTTTAGATGTGTTAACTTTTCGAAAAGTTAAAAAATGTGGCGTACTCATGTTTCTTCGAATTTGCTTCTTCAGAACTTCACAACTGAAATTGCTCTGTACTTGCTTATATACTCTTTGAGGGGGACGGAGGTAAAGGATGGACATGAACATTGTCTCATGTGACTGAGTCGCGGTTAAGATTGTTTTTTTTTTCAAATTTGTATGGAATTGGTAAAGGAATTGATTACGTGCAAGAACTTTTGGTTAGCAATATTTAACGCCCGCTATCATGATTATGCTCGGCAACTGTCGCCGTCTTAAGGCTCTTTCATCTTGTTTTAATCTAACTGATTTTTTTCATCCTTTCGAATGTATTCCGCATGGAATGCTTCTTAAGAACTTTTGATGTCGGTTCAGTAATGTTTTAAATGTTAGAAAGGAGCACAGTGGCTTTGGGAGATTATTTTGAAGTGTATTTTGTAACGGATGACATAGATCCCTAATGCGCAAAGTATGTGAGAGAATAGATGTTAGATGTTTTAATTCCATCATCAGGAGTTACAGAACATAATCATGAAACCGAACATCAAATCTTATTCGACCTTACTAAAATTCTTGAATGGCATCAATTCTGCTACCAAATAAAAATCCGAGAATCCATATAAATCTTTAAACAAACAAACAATCTTAGCTTTAGCTCCGCCTAGCTCAAACAGTATATAAGCAGGTACAGGGTAGAATACAAACCAGTTTCAATTAAGCTCTGAAGAAATCGACAAAATGAAACGTCAGCAAGTTAGATTTATCAACAACCGATGCAGGAGCAATAAACTTGCATATTTTTTAATGGAACACTCTGTATGTACTTTAATAATTTTACTTTGCTTGTTATGAGCATTTCAAAAATATGTAAAACATACGAAGTGTTTCGGATAGCAAGCTTATATCTTTTATTTTATTTTATTTTTATGAATAGGCCATGAAAAAAAAGTCGTCTGTCCCTTTCCATTTCAGCGGTCTTGACATTTCGAAATTATTATTTTAATTTATGCCCCCTCTTCATTCTGCTGTGCTCATGTTAATCCAAAATAGGTCACTCACTTCTTGTAATATATAATTTGTGAAACAAAAAACTGAATTTTCCATAGCCACTTTTAACAAAATTATAGATATATTTGTATTTCAAATAGCTCAAATGAGTTACATATTTTTGAAAGCTTAATAAAATGAGTAAAGACAGACATTGTGCTCCATTAAAAAAACACAAACTTTTCATTTCATGAAAAGTTCTGTTCTGTTGCGAGAGATATGTACACTTGATTAATATAATTCATTAAAATGTATTAATCAAAAATTGAAAATTATTCCTTGAATCCTATTTATTATTTGTTAATTTTCCCGATCTTATTTTCATATTTTATTTATTTCAATTATCACAGAGAATTTCGAAACGAATGTTCTAATGTGATTTCCGCAACATCAATCTATGTTTGTGAATGACACCTATTGCATTTACATTAACAAAATTTTAATCCAAACAGTTTCTTACACTCTGCCCAAAGTTGATATTCCATCGTGTTGAAAAAAATATCCAAGCGCGTACGTATGGGAATATTCTCGAACTATTCGGCCTATGGTAAGGAAATTTAATTAAGCACTCAATCTACTTGGCAAAATCAAAAGATATTATGATGTCATTAATTATGATACCTAATATGATACCTGGCCAAACTTTGATATAAAAACCTATGTTGAACGTTCGTTCTTCAAACAAACCTCGAATTCACATTATTCCAGGAATGCGCCTTGTAACTGTTAAAAGCCTTATCTCTTGAAAATGTTGCCCCGTCAAAATATCTTGATGATTGAGAAACTACAGCCAAGATTCTAAATGATTGGAAAAAATTTCGGATCTTAAATTCTGTACTTTTAGATAATTGTAAGGCTGTAATTTCTTTAGCTACGTCACAAAAGTGAAAAATAACGGCAAAACTTTTGCTTTTCATAGCAGTTTATTTTAAAATATGTCGATTTGAAGATAATGACACATCAGTAAACTTGTCATATCAGTTGTTTTGTAAGGTGATACCTGCCAGGAATCTTACTGCTATTTTATAATCATAATTACCCATAGGCGTTCCTTACCACTGAGATCGACTAAACGATCCAAATATATATTCCAAAATACTCTGTGATTGTGGTCTTGGTAGAAACCGTCTTTCGTACTCCCGTACAGCGGCACGCGAGCCACTATTGCAATAGCCGTAAATAAAATGAATTCTATAATTATCTAACTATATTAAAAAAAAAACTTCAGAGACAATGTGTACAAAGAAACACCATAAATATCAAGTTGCCAACAAAATAAAAACATTGTTAATTCTATTTCAAGGCCTACTTCTCAATTTTTGATGAATAAATAGGATAGGCATGCAGCACAGTGAATTTTTGAAAGTCATTTTCCTGGGAAACGAAAAGCTTTTGTTTAGTTTTTATTTAAAATAAGAAATTTTGCTCCAAGGACCAAATTCATAGTCGCCTTATGAATTTGTCATTATTAAACATACTTAAAAAGTACGGTATACCAAATTTCAAAAAAGACTGCAGGAACTCCCTGGAATATTTGGCTATTCCTACATTTTCGACTAACTCTGCGTTAAAGAATTTATTATCCCCACGGTGCGCTGACTGGTTTAACACTCAAAGAGTTTAATAGAGCAGAACTGGAATTTGTGACGTGATCTTCATAAATTTTCATGTGGCTTGTGGTAATATTTCGACATTATGAACTCTTTTAATTAAATTAAAATTTGAACACTCTTCAAGACGAAAGAAAAATGCGTTTCTTTTGACATAAAATTGCTTCAGCGATGACACTTTCTTATTGCAACTTTTTCTTCCCTACATGTTGGCATTATTAAATTTTAAGTATGACGTTCCGATGTCGTGTGCCCATCATTGACTTCATTTTATTAAATCAAGGCTTGCATTTTTTATTGAATATTTTGCAAGAACTCGCCATTTTGAAAAAATACATGTATCGCACTAAACAATACTGGTGAAACTGACAATAAAGCCAAATTTACACAAACAAATATGGTGGCCATGAAACAAAAAGCATTATTGTTTCAAAGCGTCTTGACGTATTTGCCAAATATTAGAGTTTACATTGTATTTTAATAACTAATTTTTACAGTCGCAAAATAAAAATATTTTTAAAATAAACGTATAAATATATTTTTTTATCGCGAACCAAAAAGAAAGCAACTGACAACCTTGTTCAATTAATATTAAAAAGATTAACATTAAAAAGATAGTCATTCAGAAAAAATGCATGTACCATACTAAATTGAAATTAAGCCAAATATACACAAATAAGGTGGCCATTAATTGACGCATTTGTCAAATATTACAGTTTACATTGTACTTTGGCAACTAATTACATTACATCACATTAATTTTTAAACTTTTGAAAGTTGATTTCGATCTGACATTTGATTCTAGCCTTCTAAAATTCAAATTTGATAAGCATTTTCCTCTATGGCGTAAGGTATTTTATTTAAAAATTAATAAAAATAAAAAATAATAAATGAAAATCTCGATTAATATTTAATCGTACAAAAACTGAATTAAAAGATTTAAATTAAACAACAAAGTCTCAAAAAATAGTTAAGTCCATTTGTTTTTGGAAGAGCTCTCCCTCTTGGTCAAAAAACTTCGTTTTATGGATTTCCTTGTATATTCCATTGCCGAGTTATCCCGTTTTAATGACCAGCAGTAATCTGCCATGATTGCAACGTTTCATCGACCGTTTTATCACCTTGTTCCTCCCTCACGGCACCAAGATTTTCGAGAAAGTAGTCCAGATGTGAGTATAAAAAGTGTAAAATATGTTTTATATAATGTCTAGAAAACGTTTTATTACATCAGTAAATGAAACCCATGCACAAAGATTTGATCTTTCATTCATCGCCTTATAAATTCCTTACTTTAATTTTCCATCTGAAATAGTGGAAAACTTTCCATATTTTATTAGTATTTAAAACATGTTCCATCTTTATTTAAAGCTTGAACGTATTGCTTCATGAGTCCTAGTGGTAAGAGAATTTTTCGTGGTTCAATAAGAATATTGTTCGTGAAGAATATTTTTTGATCCGCGAGTTAAACTAACAATTTTTGGTCAGATTTTTTCACCCAATGTTGGCTGTTTCTACTGTCCCATTCTGAGCTAGAAGTAGTCCCATAATTTTAAGGTCACCACAAATCATAGAACTATAGCCCTTGTATTTGTTTTTTTTTCTCAATTTCAGCTTTTCTGTTTCTGTTTCTGAAAGGGTACTTCATGCAAATAATACTGGTTTTTCATCACCATTAATGTCATGGCTTAAAACAGCCCCAACTCCGTATCCACTTGCATCACACGTGACATAAATTGGTAAGGATGGTTTAAAATGTATAAGAACATTTTCTGACGTGACTAAGTTTTTTCTCATATGAAACGCGTTTTCACACTCATTCGTCCGATTAAATTCAATTCCTGACTTACATAGGTCTAAGTTTACTTGACAACATCTTTATAAATTGGCCGTAATAATTTAATAGTCACTACATTACATTTTTTGCTAAAGGTGCTTTTTCTCTCGTATCATCAGGCTTTACAATATATATTTGGAGAAATAAAGGTATAAAAAGGAAACACTACTTGCAAATGCAGATGGTTTGTCGCGTTCACCAATGCCTTGTGAAACTGACATACCTAGTTCTTTATTCTCCTTTAACTTAATCTTAAAGATGCGCTTCATTGTAACGATATCGCAAAGATATTATTAAAGACTTGACGTTGGTAAAAGCAATTGATTATACAAAATCTGAATGCCCTTCGAAAGTTGTTAGGCAACAGATTTATTATACCAGAATCCTTGCAAGATGAAACTTTTCCATGAGCAACACTATAATATAGTTCATACTAAAATGTAGAAATTTATAAGTTTATGCGACATTTGTCGAATCACTCAGAGTTTTTCAAATAGTGATACTTTACTGCATTGGCCAAAATCTTCAAATAATTTTTCCGGGTTAACATTGACTTTTTCATAGATAGGATTTTACTTTTCTGATTCTGGTTGATGACAAGTCAAAATGGGTAGATGTCAAACTAATGCAAAAGAAACGATAATTAAATTAAAATAAATGTTTTCTATTTTCAGGCTCCCTGTTGAATTATTGTCTGATAACGGCCCACCGTTTAATTCACAAGAATTTGTTGCGTTTTGTCAGGCAAATGGGATAAAACCAATAAAATCTCCACCTTATCACCCATAAAGTAACGGTCTTGCTGAAAGAAGTGTTGAAACTATTAAAAATAACCTGAAAACGGTCTTATTTTTGGTAAAAAAAAGGGAAAGTAAGTCAATACGTATTAAAAACCAGGCTATTGAATTTTCTATATACATAGAGAAAAACACCGCCAACAGTTCTCGAACTCGACTTGATATATTGAAACCTTTTCAGAATAAAAAACAGCACAAAATTTTTTCCAAAAACTAATTTGTGTTCTTGGAATCAGACTGTCCATGGCAAAGAAAGTCTAGCAGAGGCAAAGTTGTAAAAATATTAAGTCATTCAATTTATTTAGTTAGTAAACAATAATATAAAACATACGATATTCGAAATTTTCATTGAGATATTGCTAAAGATTTTAATGTACAGGATACCTTTTCAAAGGAAAATTCGTCACGTTGATAATTCATTGCTAATAATCCCTTATCACCTTTGCCTAACGTTAATGTTAGTAATAAGTTGACAGATTCTATGCAAAATTTTACACCCCTGAAAACCCCGATTGTGTCTACAATACCAGAAGTTGTATCAAGCCCTAAAGTAAGTGGAGAAAATGTAGTCGAGACATTGTTCTATGGAATTCTATTTTAAGGTTAGGACCATAGAAATTTGGGCCATTCTCGTTTTATGTAATGTCCTACCGTCTAAAGAAATAACGGTTTATTTCGGAGTGTCATAATCAACACAATTGCACGACACGGACTGTCTTCAACACAAGACCCGACGCGTCATCCCAAAACCCAAAACATTGTTTTCCAAATCACAAAATATTTTTGGTCTGTGTTATTACAGTAGGAAAATTGTAATAAATGCCTGAACATATCGCTTTTTTGATACATTTGAAAATATTTTTTTTACTGCTAAGTCTATAATTACATAACACAGTAAGTAAGTTGTAGTAACTGACACTTTAACAACAACTGTTTGACATAAATGCTTGTGTTCCATAGCGACGTTGATGATGGACACACCAAACAGAGACGTCGTACTTAAAATGTAATAATGCCGATTTGTAGGTCAAGAAAAAATTAAAAAGAAATTGCTGGTTCTCGTTTGTTCCCAGACATCTGCGAAACTAATCGGAATGTTCACGATTTTGAAATGGTTGTAAATTAACCAAATACGCAACTTTGCATATACTTAATCTTATCTCTTACAGTTTAAAAACACAAAAAGGGAAACGAAAAGGCCTGTACTTGTTCTATAAATATTTGTTTAATATGCGCGATATTCTAAGTTTGTTGCAAAATTTGATTTAAATTACTCTCTATGAAAAACCAGACAGCAACGTTTTTAAATTCTCTTTTCTCGTATATAGGGAAAAAATATTATCAATATCACTATAAAGTTTTGAACTGCTCTCTACAATCCAATTATAACCCACTAATAATTGCAATAATAACAAAAACTACTCACCTTCTCTCGTGCTGTATTTCATCACATCTGTTTCGTTTACTTTTAATATCACATCTCCCACTTCTACCTGCAAACAACACAAACAAAAATATATCAACTAGAATTAATACTTATGGAAACAAGTTTAGCTAGCAATATTATTCGAATGAAAATCAGAGTTGAAATATAAATCTGAAAATCGGAAGTGTATTTTCCGCCAATGAATAGAAGAAAATGAAAAAATAATCCAAAAGTGAAGGATGCAGTAGAAGACATAACCATCAATGAAAACCGATATAAAAACTATCGCTCCAGGGAAAAAGAAGGGTGCACCAAGGAGGACGACTCCTTAATATGAAAATTGAACTTTTTAACACCTCTTTCTTGGTACAAAAAAGATTAGAATAACGATGGTATCATACAACACTCCCCTATACATTGTTAGATGTAATGGTCTCGAGAATTTAAAACTAAACAGGTTGTACTACTTATAAACATTTTCTTTGGTCAAAGTAGATTCACCATATGTCGTTGTCAACATTTCCAATTTTTTGCAACACAAAATTTTTTGCACATTCTTTGTTCAATTTTTTTTTACAGCACAAAATCGGCGAGCACATAAAACACACCCAACGCTTGTGACTCACAAAAAAAAGTAAAAGTGCAAACTGGCTGAAACTGTAAACATAGGTTAGGAACATGTGTACCAACATAAATTCAAATATTTCGGTTGTTTTTTTGCGGTTATATTAGGTAGAATTTGCTTTCATTTTGCATTGACTTAGTTACATTTAGATTGCCAGCGTACCATTATTTGACTTTCCATTTTGAGCTCTGCTGAAGGTTTATAACATGGTCACGAGACCAAAGATTCCAAAATAGTTGAAATATTTTCTGAAGGTTCACAAATTGGTTCAACCGATTTGAAGGCGTGGTGAGGTAAGGATAACAGAGGTTGACCGATCAGAAAATAACCGGGGGTTAGAACGGAAAGGTCAGGATCTTGGGACAATGGTGTTAAGGTGTTATAGGTGCTGCCTCGACTTGAGCAAATAACGTAGAAAGTTCTTCAACGTAAGCACAGTTTTTCCCATAATCCGCAATAAATTATTTTTCGCTCATTTAACGACATTTTCTCAAAAACCACCGTGATGAGAAGACCGTGGTGGAATGAGGTTCGATTTGATTGTGTGCGTTAAGAGAAAATCGGATACATCACGATTCTCTACCAATTCAAGAGTTTTTTATACAATTTGTTAAAGTTCGTTATTGGCACCAGTGCCCTGTTTCTCAGTTTTCGCTCCTTAATTTGAAATAAATATTTAAAATTTGGAACTGAATAGCCTACTCAACTTTTTCGCAAAGTTGTGTTGCTTGAAGAGCTGCGCTAACTTTGGGATGGAAAGTGTTTTAAGCGGGGCTACGCGCGATTTTCCGTACAACAGCCTTGTGGTTACACTGCCATTTTCGTTTTTTTTTTTTTTAAGTAAATGCTCTATATGCTATTTGAGACGCATCAGAAAAGCAATGCATTTCGATAAGCATTGGAGTTGGTAATAATACATGTCGGTTAATGTTTAAGTTATTTATAAATTGTATTTCGTCTGAAAAGCTTTGCCATTACTTAAGAATGCAGGTATGTCGGGAGAAACTGGATCGTCCCAATCTTGTTACTTTCGAAAATGGATGAAATCGAATTTTCGAAAGTATCTGCGCTCGTATAAAAAACTTATATCTCGGTAACGGTAAGTCCTATGGGAACGCCGTTGGTACAGAAATGACCACCGTCGAAAAAAAAATTTTTTTTGTCTGTTTGTAAAGCGTCCTGTCTGTCGTCTTTTGGTTTTTCCTGAATAACTTTTGAACCGTTGAAGCCTCAGAAATTGAAATTCGCCTCTTTTTTAACCCTCCACGAGGCACATAACGCCTGTATTCATCTTTTTTTCGCGATTTTTGACTGTTTTTTGGACCTATTGAAAATGGGGGGACTGGGGGGTCAGGAAGTATTCTAAAAAAATAAAAAATCGCGCGTGCAAAGGTCTACAAAAAACATCATTTTTCAAAAACTGTTTACGAGACAAAAAAAATTCTTGAACCAGAAAAAGCAGAAGATACGCCCCTATAAACTTTTATTCGTGACAATTTTTCAATAATATACAGGGTGCGCCGCAAATTCAAAAAAACTGAAAAATGGGTCCCCCTATTATTGAAAATTCGTTAGAACTGAAAGACTATGATTCAGATCTCACTTTCTTTTATATTGCGATGTATCCCGAGTAGAGATATGTATGTTTGGGGACAATCCCACTCCTCTCCCTTTTGTGGGCGTGTCCTCCTTACCCACGACTCTTTAGCTCCTCCCCCTTTACCCATAATCCCTTGAAACTGGCTCCCATTGGATAAGCAACAAGAAATGCGGATTAATCAATCTCCCCACCTCTAGTTTGCGATGGCGGCGAAGCCAATCAGAGCCCAGATATTTTCCCACCCCTAAGAAAAGCAATGGCGTCAATGAGACTTGATCATATTGTTCGCGTGACCATCTGCACCCTCTACCGGTTCGAATGTAAACTAGTGTCCCCTCTTGGAATAAGATTTTCTTTAATAAGGTAACCCCACCTAGTGAATATTGACCAAAACATTTATTTTAAAAACATATAATTCTGCGAATGTGTACCCAGGCGGGTACAAACTGTACTTTTATTGCGCACAAAGGACAGGGGAAATAAAACACGAGAGGTAACGAGTAAATATTTATATTCCGGAATCTGCAAAAAGAAAATTAGAAATTTAACGGTGTCAGCGTTATCGTGGAAATACCCGCTCGTACTTTTTTTAAATATGTTCCTGTTCATATCCCGAATCGACCGACTCCTCAGGATCCAAGGGAGGCGCCAAGTCGAAAATGTAGCTTATGGTGCTACTCCCCGAGCTTGGCGAACCCGGTCTAACTTCCCCGCCATCGTGTGGGAATTCCGCTGTCTCCTCGCTCGATCCGATGGAGATTACGTCTTGGAAGCTATTTTTTTTTTTTTTGGTTGAAAAAAAAAAACTGTTAGTATTTTTATTTTAAAATAAGGGGTGAAATTAGTTACTTCGGGATCTCCTGAATTGGGATTAAGGGTGGAGGGCCAGGCATCCTCTACATTTCTTGGCGTCTTCTATGATGAACAAGAATATAGCGAGTTATTTTAATTTATTTATTTTGCTTCCTTTTTTTTTTTTTTTTTTTTTTTTAAAACAAAAACATTTACCTTTCTCCCAAAAAAGCCATTCGCTCCAGCACCCTGGAGCGAAAAACAATCATCCCGCAAAAGGGGCAAAGTAGCGGGGGTTCATTTTGTAACCACCCAATCACATCGGCACACGAGGCGCAGAACGTATGCGCCTCGACGCCATTGCATGCGAATATCGCTTCAGGGCAGACAGTGTCGGCCCTGAGCATGCAGCGCTGGCAATGTAAAACTTCATTTGCGATGCACCTGTATAATGCAGATAAAAAACTGAATCAGGTAATTGTCTTCTCTAGGCTACACGCGAAGAAAAAAAGAAAAATTAACCCCGGCATTTCCAAAATTATCGGTAAAAAAAAGGCCTTTGCTTTATTGCTCTTTCGAAGAGGCATTCCCTTTTTATTTTTATTTTAAAATTTTGCCAAACTTATTCGTCAATAAACAGCAGCTGATTACTTAATTAAAGGCTTTAGGATAATTCACTCGCAGATTTACAAATAATGATCTAATTAGTCACTTACCCGTTCATTCTCTATGGTAAAATCTCTCGAAAAAAAGTAAACGCGCTGTCAAACAAAACTGTGTCTCACTATACCGTAACCAAAAATCACAAGCAGCACAAAACTGACCGTTTCGAAAATAAAACGATATTTGGATCTACCACACACTTTCCACTTTAATATAGCACTACAAGCGCATTTGAACATTCACGACTAAATGAGGCTAAAAGGTTCGGCGGCAAAACTAACCATCACCCCACCCTCAACCCTCATTTCGATGCAGCTGTCTTTTACGACTTTGTGTGAGAAAACAGAATTTGCAGTGTTTATGGTCTCGGGGCTAAGTATATCGAGAGCCACCCACGAAGCGGCAGTGTTTGAACATCGACGACTAAATGCGGGTAAAAGGTTCGGCGCCAAAACTGACCATCATCTCACCCTTAAGCCTCATTTCGATGCATGTGTCTTTTTACGACTTTGTGTGAGAAAACAGAATTTGCAGTGTTTATGGTCTCGGGGGTAGGTAAATCGAGAGCCACCCACAAAGCGGCGGTGTGTTTTAGTATACAAAGAAAATAAAACAAACCTTGCAAGTTTTATGAGTTTATTTTATTCAATGGGGTGGTCTTGGGGTAGGTATATCGAGAGCCACCCGCGAAAGAATACGAAAAGTGTGAGAAAATTTATCATGCAGGGACGTATTTTATGAATTTGATCCTCCTCGAAAAAAAAAAACATTTTAGTATAATTTAGGTTACTAATTACGCACTCATTAGGCTGATTTATTTATTTATTTTTTTTTTCTTCTACCTCATTTTTTTTTTCTCTTGATCAGTGCAGACTTACAAAAGCTGAAATAGGAATGAATCTTTTTTTTTTTATAATTAACTAGATATTATCACCGAATATGGAAATTGCAGTACTAAGCCAATTCAAGTTCGGTCCTGTATTTTTAGGAGTCTTTTTGGTATTTAAAGGAAACCAAACGCGATCAACAGTTTAATATCAACTTTGTTTTCATACGTGATACGTGATACGTGATTATTATTGTTCTTTTGCTTGTTACCAAGTGAACTGGTTTGTGGTGAGTTTGTCATCGATTTTTGTGCTTCCTCGAAATAAAGGTAGGTGAATTTGTTTTTATTTTTTATTTTTTTAAATTCGGGTACTTACATTTAAATCCGCAGACGTTCAAGGAGTTTTACCAATTTTTTCTTTTCTTCGTACACCTTAATTTGATCCTTCAATTTTTTAATTTTCCTCAAGTGAATATTTATTGAATTTTTTTTTGAATGAGATACGTGTGTGACCATATTAGATTTCAAGAAAACTAAAGTAGAAAGAGAAACAGTGAGGCTTTTTATATTCCAGGGATAAAAAGGGGCGAAGCAAGTCGGTCACAAGTCCTAACAAGTCTGTATGTCTGAACAAACAATCCGCTAACCGGATTTTAAAAGAATAATTAGTGTCATTTTTTTTTCTTTTAACATAAGTGGTAATAGAGGGAAGGAGACGTATTCAACCTCTGTATTTCTTTGTTTTTAAATAAAAACAACTGAAAATAATTAATAAATAATGGCTAAATACACTATCGTAAGGGAGTCTGTGCGGAATGTGTGTAGGTTCGGGATTGTTGGTCGTTCTACGGAATTTCATTTGAACCCGGTACCTTTTAATGAAAATCCTCTTGTTTGGGTAAAAGCTGCGATATCGGAAATAATACAGAATCAGTGCGCTAATTTAGACCAGGGCGATAAAGTGGGAATAACATTTAATTCCACGCGATTCTCAAACGGACAGGGTTGGGTTCCTTTTCAAGATGCTAATAACGTCACAGTCGATGACGTGTTTAATATACTTAGTAAGGTGTTTCAGTCAAATAACGTGGGTTTAGAAACTGATAATTTTATTCTAAACGTTACGACGGTCTCTTTACCCCGTGGGTCCGGTAGAAAGAAATTATACTTCAATTCCTTTGACGATGAATGCACTCGCCGAAGAGGGATAATTTCTATTCGGAATAGAGACAATCTTTGCCTAGCTCGTGCTTTGGTAGTGGGTATAGCGGTAATCGAAAACGATTCAGAGTTAGTAAGAATACGTAAAGATCGGCTTAGGTTTCAAACGCAAAGGGCAATAGATCTCACGCAATCGGCAGGAGTAGTTATAGGTGAAGGGGGAGCGGGGCTAGAAGAAATACAGAAATTTCAAACTCACCTAAGTCCAAAATACAAAATTGTAGTATATAACTATGCCGGAAATAAGGCTATTACCAAACACAGTGTTTTCTTTGAAGGCGCCGGGGACGGGCAACGTATAAACCTCATTCACGACAACAATCACTTTAACGTTATTACATCCCTGACTGCTGCTTTTGGAGTTTCATATTTTTGTGAATTTTGTCACGAATCATTTAATAATAAATTTTCGCATCGATGCTCTGTTTCATGTTACCAATGTAAAAACGACCCCATTTGTCAACTAGTACAGAAGATAAATTGTTACGCATGCAATTGGACTTTCAAAAGTCAGACTTGTTTTGACAATCACGTAAGCAACGATGTTTGTAACAAAATTAAACTTTGCGGTCTCTGTTTTAAAAGAAAAAATCCAAAGAATCCACATGTCTGCGGCGAATTCTTTTGCCGAATATGTAATAAAATTCAACAGACGGGTCATTTCTGCTTTATTCCTGTTGATTTACCAAAGAAAAGGTTAAATGTAAATGAAAAAATAGCTTTTGTTTTTTTTGATTTAGAAACTCAACAAGATGAAGTTTACAATACTGGTTCTTTTAAGCACATAGTTAACTTATGTGTTTTTAAACAAGTCTGTAGCGTTTGTTTAGACTCAGCGTCCCCAACCTGTTTACAATGTGGAATTAAATTACATAAACTTAAGGGTTCAAAGTGTATGCATGGATTTTTTTATCATCTACTTTCAATCAGACAAAAATTTAAACAAATTTTGGTTATCTCACACAATGGAGGTGCATTTGATTTAATATTTCTCTTGAAATATATACTAAATGAGACATCCTTTAAACCCGAAATTATAATGAGAGGAACCAAAATTATTCTTATGACGCTAGAAAATTTAAAATTTTTGGATAGTATTAATTACTTTCCAATGGCCCTCTCAAAATTTCCAAAAGCCTTTGACCTTGGTGACAGTTTCAAAAAGGGTTACTTTCCACATTTATTTAACAAAACCGAAAATCAAACCTATATAGGCCCGCTCCCCGCTTTACATTATTACAGCCCCAATACCATGAGTAAGGACGATAGGACTCGTTTTTTGGACTGGTACAAGATTAATAAAAATTTTGAATTTAACTTTGCCAAGGAAATAGTGGAATACTGTGTCTCAGACGTAGAAATTTTAGCAGCTGCTTGTCTAAAATTTCGAAAACAGTTAATTGAAACCACCACAGTGTGCCCTTTCTTAGAAAGTTCAACAATAGCATCTTGCTGCAGCAAGATTTTTAGAAGGAATTTTTTAAAACCAGAAACTATAGCAATTATACCTAAAGGAGGTTATCGAGCTTCGGAAAAGGTTTCACAAATAGCGATGATGTGGCTACTTTGGGAAGAACGTGAAAGGGGTATAAAAATTTTACACGCACTAAATGGGAAAGAAAGCGTCTTAGCGGGTGCCAAAGTGGATGGTTTCTGCCCGGAAAACAACGAAATTTTCGAATTTCAAGGTTGTTTTTGGCACGGACATCCTGTATGCTACAAAAATAAAAGAAACGAACCAATAAATAAAAATAATCCTTACGACACCATGAATTCCAGATTCGAGGCTACTACTTGTAAAATAGATCGCTTAACAAAAGCCGGTTACGAAGTCACAATAATGTGGGAATGTGTCTTTAAAAAGTTTTTATCGAATAATACGGCGGCATACGAATATTTAAGCCAACATCCTTTGTTAAAAAATACTCCTTTAATTCCAAGGGATGCTCTTTACGGAGGTAGGACAGGAAACACCTCGGAGTACTATAAAATCAAAGATGATGAAAAAATCAGGTACCTCGATGTGTGCTCACTTTATCCATATATTTGTAAATTTGGAAAATTCCCGATCGGACATCCAAAAGTGATTGTTGGCGAAGACTGTAAAAATTTAAATTTTAATGAGGTAGAAGGGCTTGTAAAATGCCAGATCCTACCACCACAAAATCTGTACCACCCCGTACTACCTACAAAGATGAATAATAAGTTAATGTTTGTTTTATGTCGGACATGTGGGGAAAAGTTTAACCAAAACAGATGCGAACATACTGAAGAAGAAAGGAGTCTTTTCGGGACATGGGTCAGTGACGAGCTTAAAAAAGCTATAGAAAGAGGTTATACAATTCTAAATATTTTCGAGATTTGGTCTTATCAAATATCTCAGTACGATCCACTTTCAAAATCTGGAGGACTATTCGTGGACATGATGAATAAATTTATTCAGATAAAACAAGAAGCATCCGGCTGGCCTGCGCATTTTTCTTCTGAAGAAGATAAAAATAATTACTTGCGAGACTTTTTTGAAAAAGAGGGTATTACTCTAAACCCGAATAAAATCGAAAAGAACCCGGGGCTGAGATCTTTAGCTAAATTAAATCTTAATAGTTTTTGGGGAAAATTTGCCCAAATGGAAAATCTAGGTAAAACCAAAATTATAGACACTGCTTCTGAATTATTTGAAATGTTAATAAATCCATGCTTGCACGTCAATCATTTAGAACCCATAAACGAAGAGACTTTATTAGTAAATTATGAGATTTCCGATGAAGTTTTCGATTCGCATTCGTCAGTAAATGTTTGTATTGCGGCCTATACAACCGCACAGGCTCGTTTAAAATTATATAGTTATTTAGACCAGCTAGGTGAAAGGGTACTCTATTACGATACAGACTCCGTTATTTTTATTCAAAAACCCGGTGAATACGAGCCCCCCACTGGCGAGTTTATTGGAGATCTCACCGACGAACTCGAGGAATACGGCCCCGGATCTTTCATTTCAGAATTTGTAAGTGGGGGCCCGAAAAATTACGCATATGTTGTGTTTTCACCTACGACAGGGGAAGAAAGCGTAATATGTAAAGTTAAGGGAATATGCTTGAATTACGCGGCGTCTCAGATAATAAATTTCGAACTAATAAAGAATATGATTTTGGACAAGTCGAAAGCTCCGGTCCCATTAATTTCTTCCAATATTCGTAGAACAGCGAAACTAGATGTCATTACTAAAGAAGAAACGAAGTTATATCGACCGGTAAACCTTAAACGGCGATTTTTAGAAAATCACAGCTCCTACCCGTATGGATACAAAAAACGGGTTTAATATGTCTCGTGACAAATGTGTTACAATATTTATTAAATCTATCAGGCATAACGTTTAGGCCTGCTGACAAAAATGAGGTCCTGAAAATTGTTTATATATATATATATATATATATATATATATATATATATATATATATATATATATATATATATATATATATATATATATATATATATATATATATATATATATATATATATATATATATATATTCTCACGTATTGATTCACGGATGGAAAAATGTGATGACACTATATTCCGGGATATCATCCGTTCGCTCGTTGAACTCCGACTGGAATCCTGCATCCGACTGGAATCCTGCAAATCTTGCATCCGACTGGAATCCTGCAGACGTTTCGCCAAAATCTCACTTGGCATCTTCAATGCTCGCGCTCCGAAAACATATATATATATATATTTCCATGCCGCAGGGGGTTTTTTTTTTTATAAAACTGATATTTTATTTTTTAATTTTCAGATTTTTTCTATTTTAACCAAAAAAAAAAAAAAGAAATGGGCCACCTGAAACTTCCTGAAAATAATTCATTACAAGATTATGCAGATGAGGAAATACGTAATCATAATCATTATCTGATGCAATACATTTCAAATTTTGAAAAGGTAATTAATTTAGCCATATCGGGGGGATTTGATTTTGAATTTAGACGTGCTAGAGTGACAAACGAAATAGTTGTAATATTGACAGATTACAGCTGGACTGGGGACAAAATATTGTTTCAAGGAAACGACTTTTTGCGATTAACAAAAATTTTAGTAAAAAAAATCAACCCAAACAGTGAGACGGACGTCGAATTTAAATACCTTTTTGGCAATGTTCGAGTCGAATACATGTATTACGAAAAATCTATTTTTAGTTTAGACTTTCGTACCTATTATACCAGCGTATTTCTATTCAGAGAGTCCGTTTTTGATTTTCTCAAAAAAGCCGACCAGATCGTTACGATTCTTACCCACCTGCTCCAGCCGAGGGAGCAATAAGGGTACAATATCTGTTTTATTAGTCAACTGTAAATACCGCATCATGTTTGTGGTTGTGTAAGTGATCGTAAATTTGCCTCGTGGCAAAGGCCTGCCGGCTATCGGTTTATTATTTATAGGGGATAGGATAGGCAAAAACTTTTTTAATAAGAAGGACCCGCTGACAAATTAGATCGAAAAATAAGTATATACATATATAGCAGCGGGTCTTTTTTTTTTTTTTTAAATAATAATAATTTTTTCAACAGAATTTTAGGCTAAGCTAAATACCCTACGCAACAAAATATTGAAGGATCTTCAGGATCCTACCAGTGAGCGAGTAGAAAATTATTTGCAAAGAGGATAAAGGTAAATCTTAATATAATTCGTTTATTTATTACTCCGCCATTGATATTCCTTTTTTTTTTTTAAATAGCGCTTTATTTGATACGTACTTTTTCTTGTCAGAGCTTGTCTAAATAAAAGCGGGTGGATGGAGGTTCTCCGTCAGGTTTTTTCCTGTCGAAACAAGTATGTTAGGCGTTCGCTTTGAATCTGGGGATCGGGTGGGGGGTTATACATATATAAGCTATAAGAAATTTAAATTTTTATTCAGTTTCGACTCATACAATTTCGTGATAAGTGCAGAGTGAGAAAAATGTATGAAGCCGAAAATTATCCAACGCAAGCATTGGATTCGTGGGGAAGATTTGTGGTCAATGCGGAAATAATCCGCGAACAAAAATACATTTACGAGGCAGCAATTACGCTGCCGGAATTCGGACTAGAAATTACCTCAGGTCTTAGCCCAGCAAGAATCTTCGCTCCAGCAGTGAAAGTGAGCTTTCTCCCCCACGTTTTGGCGGAGAAAAGAAGCATTTCGTTCGACGAGATAGACTTCACAGAATTAATACAACAGCTTCCATTGATATTGTCAGCAGGCCCCACTGGTAAAGTTATGTATTTAACCTGCTTCAAACTCAGCTGTCTACAATGTGATGGTGAAGTCTTGGTCAAGATTGAAAACGGCGAGGGTATACTCTATATTTCGAAAGACTGGGTACAGGAATTAATTACCATAAGCAAATTGGTATTTAAAAGAATACGAGTACTGTCTCGTTTGAACTTTTACGAGTACTACGATAGAATATTGTATTTGACTATACATGAAAATTTACTGGAAGACGCGAAAATCTTTCCGCATATAGAATATTTATGTTCTACAGAAGAGAGTGAGCAGAGCTACTGCATGGAGGACTACATGCGTTTTGGAAAAATGCAGATAAAACAAGATATCAACAAAAGGATAGTATGGGACATACCTGTGTTTTAATAGAAATTTACCTGTAAACTAATAATAATAAATGTTTTTTTAAAATTCAGTGTATGTTTTATCCTTACCCCCACATAAAAAAGTAAAAAAAAAACAAGTAATTGCGTAAAATAACTTTATTAAAGAAAAAAAAAAATACAATTTTATCTTGCTAAATAATACAACAGGTACTTTGCTAATCTGCATCTGCCTTGTCGATCCAGGAGTTGTACGACTTTGGAAATCCAAACCATTTAACATAAACTTCTTCTCTATTATTTTTTATTCTGCGTCGTAAAATTTTTTCAACCAAATAGAAGTCTGGTAGTATGGTTTTTTGTAATTCGGGTTCATAAAACGAACCTTTAATCTCACGCCCCTCCATATCTTCCAAAATATACGTAAGAGGGAAGGAACCACTTACTTAACAATCTTGAAATTTTCGGGTGTCCAATTAATTTCATAGCTTTTGTCAAAAACCGATTTTGTGCGACTTATGCGCACTACATCGCCAACTTTGAACTTTGACTTTTTCACTGCAATTGTTGGTAAATTATATACGAGAATCTTCGTTGTCGGGGTAATTTCTGAAGGTTTCATTCCGGTGGTACTATGTTTTGTTTGATTATATTTTGTTGTTATTTTTTTTAAAATATGTATCCATTTATACGTACCTTCAAAAGCCATGTGTTTATAGAGTAAACCTTTTAAAGTTCTTATTACGCGTTCTGCTATCGATGCCTTTTTGGTGCTGAAACTGTTGTAATGGTTAATGTTATTGCGATTCATTAAGGCACGGAAATGTTTATTAAAAAATTCAGTCCCTTGATCGGTCTGTAGATTTTCTGGTGAATATTTCGCCTCTTTCAATATGCTTTCCATGGCTCGTCGTACTTCTAAGGCTGTTTTGTTTTTCAGGAAATTTGTCCACACAAATTTTGAATAGCAATCGATAACTACGAGAAAATATCTATTGTTGTCGTTGAATTTAGAATACTGTTGCATTTCAGCTAAATCAGCTTGCCATAGGTCTCCATATCCCTTGATAATCGTATGTCTACGAACGAAGTTTTTACGTGACGGTTTAAATAGTTCATTAAGAAGAACCATTTTTTTATTTTCTGATTCTCCCATTATTTTTCTTTTGGAATGATTGTTTTAGATCTTCTTAAGTTAGCCTGTATCACTAGTCTGTTTCAGATATTCAGATACGATAGTTATATATACAGTGTCGGCATCAGGGATGGCTTTGAACTGAATATAATCACCCTCCTTTAGACATTTCCCTCTTATTTTGTCCAAAGAAGTATAGTCGGCATTTATTAAAACGGGAGCTTTTTTATGAGAGACGAATATAGTTCTCACCTTTTGAGGATAATGGAAATTTATTCGATCATCGCCTTCAATAATGTAAAATGAATTATGTAGTTTTTTAGTGGCTCGGTACCCTATAACCATCACCAACGGACCTTCTGACATATCTCTTTCTAGCTTTGCAATCTTGCTAGAAAGCTCTTTACCTCTCCGTACTGCATCTCCAATATTTTGAAAATTCTTGTTTATCATCTCATCGAATTGTTTAGTTTCCGATTTAATACAGTCTCCCAATAATGTTCTAATTGTTTTAAACATATTTTCCAAACGAACCTCTAAGTATTTATTATTTACAGCATCTAAAGAGTGAGCCGGAGGGGCAACATTTGATAATCTTTTACCCCCGGCATCGAAGTGCCCATCTATCAGCAGTTTAAATGAACCATTCCGCCCCCCGATCAAAGGTCTATCATAACCTCTACGGCGTCCGAATTTATCAATCGTATTTGCTCCTTACTCAATAGCCTACTAAAGCTAATTAAATAGAGAAAATGTTTTTAAACCTAATAAATTATTTTTTCCTCGCGTAATTCTTCTATAATAGACAAAATTTCATTTTCATGACCCGAATGTCCAGCAGATTTAGATCCCCACAACAAACGTAATCTCGCAATCAGCTCGGGTACTTTGTTCCAATATACATATTCCTTTTTCTTATTGTTAAAAGATTTCTGCCCCAGTATTTCTTTTGTTAATTTCATTTTTAAACCTTTTCCGTCCTTTGTCTGAATGGTATAAATTCCTTTTTTTATTAAAAGCGGCTTTATAATTTCATTAAATTTGCGAGTTCTGGATTTATTTATTCCGTTCCTCTTTGTGTAATTCTGATAAATTGCATTTGTTTTCAATATTATATCTGTATATATATCACAGACATATTTAGGAATTTTTTCGGGGTATAGTAATAATGCCTTCGGATATTTTAAAAAAAGTAAATCATACAATTGCACAGAACCGTCATATTCACCAATTTTTTGATCGTTTCGATACAAAATAACCTTGCCTGAAACAAACTTTATTTCCGAGTCCCCGATAAACATCTCTGCGTCTTCACTTTTGTAGCGTACCCCAAATAGTCTATCATAGTCGCGATTATCATCTCTTAGTTTTTTCAAATGTCTTTCTACGGCCGAGAATCTATTTCTCGATAATTCAGTTTCCGATAAAGGGGTTTCATACGATTCCTCATATGTACTTTCGTCTGAAGAAGCTTCAGCGTCAGTATATGATCCTTCAAGAATTGACGGGTCACCTAATTTAGATATCCCGTAGTTTGTCTTTTCCATTGGAGATTCCTTTTTTTCGATTTTTACATTTAAACCTGATTGGCTAGAAGTAGCTTTATCTTCGTTCATCGTCGTTTTGATGGCTCCCGAAAGGGATTTTAGACTTGTTGTGACAGGTTGATAGAATGCCTCGAGTCCCAACTTGTTCTCAGTATGTCTGTTTCTTAAATAATTAAATTTTTTCCTAACATCTTCCGCAGTACTAACTAGTTTTCGCTTAAGATTTAGTTCGGTATTATTTTCCATTTTATTTATTTATTTATTTATTTATTTTGTTGAAAAAAAAAAAAGCCTCTGCACAAACGAAAGGTCTCTAATAAAATGATGAACTTTGGTAAAGCTTTACGGGTATATGTAGCAATCAAATCCTTTTCTGTATCTACCAAAGGTAATATCGCTATCCTTATCTATGACCAAGAACCCGTATTTATTGCTCCAGCATTTGTTGCACATTTCTAGAAAATTCACAAAAGTAACATCCGGGGCAACATGATCAGAATAAATATGTTTTAGATTAGTTTCATCCTGTTTAAATAAAATAATAAAGTTTGCGTTATCGCGTATTAATTGTTTAGGAATACTAGAGTATGTCTGAGCCAGATAAAAACTATCGATGTTATTGTGTCTTCCTCGCGAAAAATATTGTCTGACAACGTCTTGGTTTTGGTTTATAATATCATCGAAAATAAAAATTGAGTTTGCTTTTGCTTCAGAGGGGTCAGCGATGTTTTCGTTATTATTAAAAGTAAATAACCCCAAACCGTCTATCAGTTCTAGTACTTTCTGCAGGTATTGGTATTTGGGTTGATATAATGATTTAGAATAGATGTAGACATTCTCAAATCTCAAGCCCAAAGGGTTAGTTAAAAGCGAAATCATAACATTTGTTTTTCCACAATTCGAAGGTCCAACAATAAGACCCCTGATAGTAGACGGGAAAAGGTCCCCGTGTCGTTTAAAATTTAAGTCGATACCATTTCCAACGACTTCGTCGAGATTGTCAATGCAAAAGCTTTTTTTCAGCTTTACTGTTTGTATTGTGTTTTCCATTTAAATATCTGATTTAGAATTCAAAAAATTTATTTCGATGCCAGCTCCGGTTAGAGCAAGACGTACTCGCGAACACAAGAGACGCACAAAGACTGGCTCGGGTATACTAAACTCTATAATAAATAAACTACCCATTGAACTACATATTCCGGGATACAATTACTGCGGACCAGGTACAAAGCTTCGAGAGAGACTTGCGCGAGGGGACGCCCCGAAAAATAGTTTGGACAAATTTTGTTTAGATCATGATATCGTATATTCGGAAAAACGAGACTTAGAAGACCGTCATAAAGCTGATAAAATTTTGGAAAACAAAGCGTGGGAAGTATTTAAAGGAAAAGATTCTAATTTTGCTGAAAAAGCTGCGGCTTTGTTAGTGACTTCGGGGATGAAGATTAAGAGAAAGCTGGGTATGGGTATGATAAAAAGAAAAAGCCAACGCACTCGAAAACAGAAAAATGCGAGCACGATAGCCTTCGGAACCGGTATTGTGCAAAGAGTTAGAAATGAATTAAAAAATAAAATACACGGCAGCAAAAAAATCAATGAAGAAAATATCAAAAAATTGGCATCTTCAGCTCTAATTATCGCTAAAAATTCTGTGAAAAAGAACGGAGGCAAAAGAAAAATACGCACTCCGCGAATAATACCAGTCCCAAAGGTTGGCGGATTATTACCATTGATCCCAATTTTCGCAGGTTTATCCGCACTAGGATCTATAGCCGCTGGTGCTTCAGGTATAGCAAAAGCTGTAAGTACCGCTAAGAACGCTCAAGAAGCTTTAACAGAAGCACAGCGACACAACAAAATGATGGAAGCTATTTCTATAGGGAAAAAAGGGGGCGGCTTATATTTGAAGCCTTTTCGCAAAGGGTTGGGTCTTTATTTAACCAAGTCAAAAAACTTTTAAGAGAGCTACCCTCCACGCCCCTCACGGATTTCCAACTAAAAAGATTTGCACGTAAATTTGATATTCCGCATTTTAGAGGAGTATATATGCGTGACGGTTTACCAAAAAACGGACCTCGTAAAAATGAATGCGCAATAGTAAACTTGGACGAATCTAGAGGGGCGGGGACACATTGGGTAGCCTATAAAAAGCAAGGAAGAATAACATCTTACTTTGACAGTTTTGGAAACTTATCCCCTCCAACAGAATTAATCGAGTATTTCCACGCAGGCGTACACAGAAGTTCTCAAATTCTATATAACTACGAGCGTCAGCAAGATTTTGATACAGTCTGGTGTGGCCATCTGTGTCTAAATTTTTTACTGACTAAGTAGTTCTGAAAATTAATATGAATCGCGAAAGTATTAAACAAATGAGTCAATCTTTGAAGATTTTTTCCAAGCGAGGCGGATTACTCGAAATGACAACGGAAGAAATGGAGAAGCTACCTAAAGAAGTAATCATAGCCCTAGCACAAAATGAAATTGCCTATGTATGGGATAAGCTTCCTGAAAAGCTAAAAAAAGAAAGGGATATTCAACAATACATGTTTTGCACCCAGCATCATGTTCGCGAGATTGGAGATGTACCCGATGGACCACCACCGAGGCGTATTTTTTGTTGTTATTGCAAGACAGAGGATATCAATGCGTTCACTCGGAATACTCCGGATTCTTCGACGCCGCCAAGAAGCGGACGGTGCACGCCCCTATGATATTATTAATCTAGTTTAGGATTGGTCATAGTATTTTTATTTTTCAATAAAAAATATAAAGTACGTTGAAGTTGTTTCAGTCATGTCTTGTACGTTCACGCTGTCAGACTCGTCTAGTGTCCTTTATGCTGATTTTTTTCCTCCAATTGAGCTCGAAAAAAATATCAGTTATGGTTTAGGTTTATTAGGTTTTTATTCTTATAATTCAATTTTTAACATAGATTGTAATAATAACGTATTTGCATATAGAGAAAAAAGAGAAGGTAAATCGAAAACGATAAAGCTTTCTCCTGGGGTGTACGAAATCGAGGAAATTAATAGAGTAATTTTGTCTTACCTAAAAAAGGAAAAAAATAGTGTACATGAGAGTGATTCGGTAATATTTTCCTTGAAACCAAATAATAATACTCTTAAATGCGAGATTGAATCTCAATATTTCGTTGATTTTACCGTCGATAACTCACTTCGACACATTTTGGGTTTCGAGGCAGTGATTTTAGACAGACACAAGCGCCATGAATCTTCGCTCCCTGTGAATATAATGAAAGTACGAATGATTCGGGTAGAATGTAACATTATTTCGGGGGCTTACATCAATGAAAAAAACTCTCATGTTCTTTTCGAATTCGATATAGATGTCGAGCCCGGATATAAATTAACGAAAGAACCACGAAATATAATATATTTACCTGTAATCCCACACGGGCGCCAGTATATTGACAACATTACTCTAAGAATTGTCGATGATCAGGGAGAACTCATTAATTTTCAGGGTGAAAAAATTATAGTTAAATTAGAATTAAAGAAACTTTTTTAATATAAACAAAAAAAAATCAATGGGTTTCTGTTTTGATCGCGAGTCTTTTTACCTAAAAAGTCCAAATAATTTCTTTAAATATCGGAGCTTAAAAGGACCAGATGCCATTCAACACTCGAACGCAGACAAGTCAAGAACGAGTTTAGACTTGTCGCGTAAGCCTAATCGGAAAAAATTGCATAAGTTAGATTTGGAATTCCTGAAATCCATTGGGTTAAGAGTACGAAATAGTTAAGATGGCATTGGGACATAAGCTGGATATTTTTGAAGAGCCTATATTTGATAACTCTTATGTCAGTCTACACGAGCACACATATAAACCTTACGGATCTCCTAATTATAGAAATTCTGATGAAATTAGAATTCCTGTAAATTTTCAAGATCTGATTCTCGATATACCAGAGAGTTATATTTACATCGAAGGTGAATTTCAACCGGAGGATCCTTCAAAATTGTGCTACCTTTCGAATAATGCATTGGCGTTCTTGTTCGATGAAATACGTTATGAAATGGGTGGGGAGCAAGTGGCTAACGTTAGAAAACCCGGGATCGCAACCGCTCTTAAGTTTATTGCTTCTATTGGAAAAACACAAGCTTCCCGACTAAGCGTGGCCGGATGGGGTCTCAGTGACACTAAACAAGAGATTTTGGATAAAACTAGTAATATTTTCTCTGGGAAACTTCCTCTAAAATTTTTATTGGGGTTTGCAGAAGATTACACTAGAGGAATAATCAATGTTAAACAAGAGCTAATTCTAACTATCGCGAGAACCTTCAAAAATTCTTACATAGGTGAGACGTCTGCTAAAATAAAAATAGACAAGATAGAATGGAAAATTCGTCATATAGTACCAGAAGATAAATTGAAGATTAAACTTCTTTCAAAACTTTCACGGGGACCCCACGGAGCGTCCATTAAAATTCCGTTTCGTATGTGGGATTTATATGAATTGCCATCACTTCGTGAGACATTTTCAGATATTTGGGCAATCAAAACATGTACCTCGCTGGAGAGGCCGCGTCAGATAATAATTGCTTTTCAAGAAATCGGGAATTCTGATGTGTTCCAAAAAGACTCTAGTGCTTTTATTCATGCTAATATTCGTGATATTAGGTTATATTTAAATTCCGAAGTGTACCCCTATGAAAAATGGAATTTAGATTTTAGTAAGTCAATTTTCGCTCCAGCATATTATTCGTACGAAAATTTTCAGAAGAGCTACTATGGACGAGAAAATTATGATGTCATGTTGAACCTTCCTGATTTCATAGCAAAGCCCATATTTGTGATCGATTGTTCCCACCACACGGAAGCCATAAAGTCTTCAACGGTGGATATTAAATTGGAGTTTGAAGCTAAAACCAAATTTCCAAAAGGCGTACGGGTGTACGCGCTAATTCTTCACGATGCCTTTTTATCGTATAATCCCATGGATGGCTCGGTTAAAAAAAGAGCTGTATATGCTTAATAATAAATATTTACTCGTTACCTCTCGTGTTTTATTTCCCCTGTCCTTTGTGCGCAATAAAAGTACAGTTTGTACCCGCCTGGGTACACATTCGCAGAACTATATGTTTTTAAAATAAATGTTTTGGTCAATATTCACTAGGTGGGGTTACCTTATTAAAGAAAATCTTATTCCAAGAGGGGACACTAGTTTACATTCGAACCGGTAGAGGGTGCAGATGGTCACGCGAACAATATGATCAAGTCTCATTGACGCCATTGCTTTTCTTAGGGGTGGGAAAATATCTGGGCTCTGATTGGCTTCGCCGCCATCGCAAACTAGAGGTGGGGAGATTGATTAATCCGCATTTCTTGTTGCTTATCCAATGGGAGCCAGTTTCAAGGGATTATGGGTAAAGGGGGAGGAGCTAAAGAGTCGTGGGTAAGGAGGACACGCCCACAAAAGGGAGAGGAGTGGGATTGTCCCCAAACATACATATCTCTACTATCCCGCATAGATAGCAAAAACTTTTGTATTTAAGTTTTTCACCTACTGTACAGGGTGTTCCCAATATTCCGTGCTAAATAAGAAATCGATTGGGTGTCCTAAAATTGCAGATATCAACTTCAAATTTAGCAGAGAAGTAAAAGTCCGTGTTCACATTTAAACTGTAGAAATTGGGCGTAATCAAATATTGCCAAGTATTTTTTAAATATATTTGATTTTTTTTTTGAAATTTTAGCTTCCAGAAAAATATGTTTTCCTCCATAATCGTTCATCCGATTGGAAAAATTCTTTAACCGGCAGACGCAGAAGATCCAGTGCAATAACATTTATTTCAGGCATTTTTTCGATTATATACAAGGTTTTCAAATTATAGACAAAAATCTAAAAGACCTAGAAAATTGTTTTTTTACAGAGTAAATTATTAGCCGCAAATCAAAAATTGTAAAAAATATGGCTAATTGGTTCAAACGGTGTCATAGGCCGCATCAAGAGCTACAATTTTTGTATTTGCGGTTTTCGTATATCACATACGCGCTGCTCGGGACATTTGAAAAAATCGATATTGAAATCGCTATTTCGGGGGCTGTCAAGACGTCCTGACGTCGTCGATTATTACGGCGCACTGCATGGTTTCAGAAAAAACTGATTTTCTCGAAAACCACTTACTACTTTCAAAAATTTATTGAACCAGGACGCGTTGAAGATCCAGGTCAATAACCACTACTTCGAACAATGATTGTATCATATACAGGGTGTGTCCTTTATGGGCAAAAGATCTAAAATATCCTAAAAACTTGCCCCGCCTAGCGATGATTTTTCGAAAGCAATCTTGTTTACATTGCCAAAGTTTCTGAAGCAATATTTTAATGCTAATAATAATTGGTAAAATTAGACCTAACTGATTAAATCTACTTGAAACAGCTGAAAGAATGTATGGCTTAGTGATTTGAACCTACAATCTTTATTTCTTTTTGGTGAACATAATATTGTCTGTACTATCAAAATTTTCTTTTTCAATTACTTGAACCGGTTTTTAATTTGGATACCATTTCTACATTCTACATAATTGCATCGGATGAATCGGGGTACTTTTTACGATTTTACATTTTCCATAGCAGCTCGTTGTAAAGCTCTAAAAATAAATCTGGACCAGTGCCGTACGTCACTGTTGCGAAAACGTAATAAGAAATTGGAGATTCTGGATTTTCGCGGCACACTATATATATCACTCTGAAGTTCGAATATCTTAACTTGACGATACATTTTCGCCACCTCAGCTGTTATTACAACGTTGTGCTTTCGAAATCTAAGTAGTATTGAAAATAAGTCGTCCTGTATACACGGACCAATATATGTACCTATACTTGAAGGACAAGATCCGTCAAAAACTACCCTTAATGGTGTTGTAGTGCTAGAATTATTAATTACCCTATGGTGCGTTAATAAAAAATGCTTTTATTTGTTTCACTTTCATTGGCGGATATTTTTTGCATATGTCCAAGTTCCATATTTCCTCATAAAATCAAAATAATTTCACGATTTGTTTTAAACTTTGTTTCTCGGAGAGGTAATGTTACAATAAAGCGTCCTGTGTCGTCGCTTGACTTCCTCGGTATAATGTTTTACAAAAGAACATTCTTCGCATTGCCGGAATTTTTCCAGCTAAGTTTCTAATGTTCGGTTAATTGATAAATGACAACCAGTCTTTTTTGTCTTAAAATTTAAATTTAAACTACCGGAAACGATAAAACAAAATACGGTGTTCTGAAGAGCTGGCATATTTTCCCCTAAATTTCTTCGCTGTGGACATAAAAGGTCATAGAAAATACTCGCGCCCAGCAAAACGTCAATTTGTTGAGGTGTGTTTAAGTGTTTATTCGCAAGCTTAATATGATTGGAATATTTAACCTGGCTTTGTTAAAATGAACAGTTGCCAATTTTTCGGTTATTTTATTGAGAATTAAAAATGTTAGTTCATTTTCAAAATTAATTTCACTCGATTTTACTTTAGCACGCGTTTGATTTGCTGTATTGATTTAAGTGCAACAAAAATTTAATTTCTTCCAGTTAATTTTTAATGTTGTGGTTAACTATTAACCCTACCGATTTTGGAGTGTTTTCAAATTTTAAATTTTCAACAGAACTTTTTTTCGAATTTTCAGATTTAGTATCTACATGCGGCATCGTGTTGAGTTTTTTCGAACAAACTTTACACCCCTGAAAAGTGCAATCTGTAGTGGTATGATTTGAACGCAAGTTGTTCGAGCAAACCTCAAGTTTCGTAATTTCAGATAATCACGAAGCTACCGGTAACGCTAAGAAGATATATTCCATGCGAATCTTTACATATATATATGGTATATATACATATATACCATATGGTCTGCCAGTGGGTCGATTATCAAACATATCGGGAAAATAATATCTTATCTCTAATATCTTATATCTTCAATACATTTTTTCTTTTAAACAACGAAAGAAACCCCATATTGGCTGAAAAAATAGGTTATAACCCGTTAATACCCAATAAAGTGACACAAGGGTGAAATGCAAAAAGTGCTTATTAAATCACATTTCTTAGGTTAATTTGTTTATTGTTTTAAGGTAACTTAAATAATGGTAAGTGCGTAAAACTAGCAAAATTGTAGAAATAAGTTAGGATTTCACAGAGCTCGTACATCAGATTTCACGCGTGATTAACAATACAATACCAATTTTAGCAATAATTCGACAAATAAATAATACCATTAATTTATATTATTATTTTATCTTAAAGAAAAAAAATCATACTAACTAACACCTTCCTTCTATGTTGAAAAAATAGTGTTAATCGATTAGTGGATAGGGAGACAGGAGTTATTTAAAAAAAAGAACACTTTGAAGTAATTCGGAAACGCTATTTTCAATTCTTTTTGCGTGGCAACCGATTCATCCTGGTATCTTGAAGAATAAGTGAGCAATAGACCCGATTTGAATTTGTTGACACTGTATACCACACGAATTAAACAAATTAAAAAAAAAACGCTTAAAACAAAATCTGATCGAAATGAATTTTTGACTCTACCGGCATACCGGTCGTAAACGTAAAGACATTCGATTCATTTGCTAATCGATTCACCTTTGGCATTAGAAATAAATGCACCAACGAAGTTTTACGCAGATTTCTCTTGCAGTAATAAAGTAGGCAAGTTCTTTATTAATGTCGATCGTTGCTACATATTTTTTTCATCAGCTGGCGCATGGGTGGCGGTCTTGTGCCCACGGAAACGCAGGAGTAAGAAAACGAAAAAGTGATCAGCTTCGTAAAAGTGAAAATATCCGCGCTTATCGTCAATCGGTATCCGCGCATAACGGCAAGGCATTTCGCTAAACTGTTACTCTTGGGCTAATTATTTGGAAAACATAATGCAGTCCAGGGCACTTACCTCTCCGCTCTCTGCGGCCGGGGAATCGTCCAAAATATTATAGATGATCGGAGGCAAACCCGGTTTGCCCAACAGGGAGAATCCGAAACCCGCATTCTCACTACGATTTAGCACTACCAGTAACTCTTCAGCCATGATCTGATACCATTGATTTTGATGGTAACTTACACTTTTACACAGCAATAAGCACCTCTACATAACCTACACCATAACTGCATAGTACATGACATTCGCCGCAAGAGGGAAGCACCATCCACCACCGAAAAAAATTGGGGGGATGATATAGAAAAACTCTTTAACCAAGACCGATCCTAAAAATTGGCAGTTCATGCCGTTTTTCAAATAAATGTTACACTTTAAGATTTAGATTCTTGAAATAACATATATAGGTTAAATTCTGAGTTAATTTATTTTTATTGGTAGGGTATAAGACCACGCGCCATGCACCTTGATCAATAAAATTTTCAATTTTGTTACGAATATACTTAATTTTTAACAAAACCATTTTGTCTCTCAGACTTTCGGTCATTCGTTATTACAAGACGTATTTTTAATAATAAAAAAGTCTTAGTTCTATTAAAAATTCTAAAGACTGTTGCACATTTAGACCAAACGGCTAAATGAAACTTAAAACAAACACAAAATAATTTACATTTTAATATACATTTTAAAATTAAATTTTGAATTTTCATTCAAGAGTTGTGTCCCAAGCACGATAACACGAAACAAATTTCAAGGTTAAGTTTAATATTTTGGCTTCGCAAATAAATGTTAAATTGTGCTCCAAGAAGTGTCGTATGCCATAGAATAAAGTCTACCTTCCTAGCGCATGGTTTTTGGCAGATTGTGACTTTGGAGGATTGCGCTACCTACAGCCGATTTTGGAGGCTGCTAAAAAAAAATGTAGCTATATTTTTTTGGCTCCTCTTTTCACGTTACGGCGGAAGGCAAAATTAATCTATCTATTATTATTTTTTCCTATTTGCAGGTGCTAGGTGCAGTTTTGCAAAATAACAGGAACACTGAATGACATGTGACCCCTGACCATTAGAACAAATGTCACAAGCAGCTAAAATCTTAAAGTGCGCCCGCTTGACCAAGGTATAGGGAGGGGAAATTTTATTTTTTCTGGTTGTATAATTATTTTAAAACCTAACATCTTCCATTTCAAAAAAATATATATAACCCACTTACCGAGAAAATTAACGTTCTTAAGTACTTACAAACAAGGTCTTAATTTCCTCGCATATTAATCTCTTCAAGAGGCTACAAACCCGTCTTCACACATTTTAAATAATCAGTGCATTTGAGCCGGATGCTTTAATTTCCATTCCATTCTTGTAGGCTTTCACACAGACAAATATCCCATTATTCTATTTGATCAGACATTTCCAATTAGCTTGGATAAATGAATGTTAAATAAAACAAGGATTATTTTTCCGACAACATATATTCGTTTTATTTAAAAAGCAGCAAAAGTTAAACATCCCAACATATTAACATTTCTACCCTATTCAGAATGATTAACTAAATCATTCATTTAGATTTCTTCACAATCACAGGCCCAACATTATCACTTGTTTCTTTATTGTGATCTGCATGAGATCCGTCGCAATATGGCCACTAAAACCAAATTAATTGAAAACGTTGAACTAAACTCAAGCGGCTGCCCAGCCCACGCCCCATAATCATGTCCACGGTCTCAAGTACTTTCCACATCCACATAGGGTATTAAAATAGAATTTTTTAAGGGGTGGGTGGGGTCAACCACTGGAATACTGCTAGAAAAATAGTACAGTTGAAATCAAGAATGATTGACCTTACTTTATTAGTTCTCTTTATTAAAATGCATTTTTTCAAAATGTGTGCACGGGTGCCATAAATTTTAACAAATTGTATCAGTTTTCCTACTTAGAAGGAAAAGGCAATACTTTCAGCACTTATTTGCACTAAGGATGACACTACTCCACAATCAAATACTCGTTTCTGACATATCTGTCACTAACTATGACTATTCTAAACACTCTGCAATTCTGGTTAAATCTTTTTGACTGAAAGTGTAGTCATATATCCAATAAAACTTTAACTTTATTTGAAATGAAGTTTTATGGAGTTGTCAATAACAAAGCAATTAAAACATTTGGCCTTATCACACACATCAAAGCTGAATAGCGTTATTTTACAAATGTTCTTCGCCTGGCTTTGCTTTTAAGTAACTGAATCTGGTGTCCTGTTCGCAAATATAGGTAAAATAGCATAGGCATATCTTTCATGATTTTGACCGACTTGGACTTGATAAAAGCTAAATTCATTGCTGAGAATATATGAATTTGTTTTTATATTTACATTTTTACTTTTCCAACATCTGCAAAAGGCCGCTTTTTCAACAATATCTTCCACATCAATTGCATCAACTACCTTGGGATTTGACAGTTGAACTGAATGATTTATTTTCGAGGAGGACTGCCTGGCTTTCGGGCAGAAAGCTTTATAAGCCAAATAACCAACACCAGCCGTCGCAGCTGTGGGAGGAAGTAAAGCCAACCAATCTTTAACTAAAACACACAAAATAAACAATCAACGCCTATGTGAACGACTAGACATACAAAATGTAGTTCAGTATATGCTGAAATTATTTAATAAAAGAAATTCAAGATGGCCTAACATAATATATTTAAACCAAAATTTCTTTTAATAAAAATGCAACTTACAGCCTAACCTAAACCAACCTCCAAAGGAATCAGGTATAGGTAAATTCGAAAAATAATTGGGCAAAGAAATTTTAACTAGCTGGGCTATTGGGTACATCTTTAATGGAAGACTTTTGTGGACTATTAACCCCTATTAACTCGCAAGTATTTACGAAAAGATTAGATATCGCAGAACAATGAATGCCGTAGATATAGAATAAAAGGTTCTCTGAATCTTAGATCTAGGAATCCACCACAGTATGCTGTGATTTAAGCGTAAATTTCGCCTTCTGACCACTACTATGCGCAAACGCAGAAGGAAGCCATTCTTTGAATAATAAACTTGTATTTAGCTGACGTTCGTTTGTTTATATGTCTTTATACTAGTGCTTAAGATATTACTAGATTTACATGTAAACACTTAGTCTGCCTAATTTGCGCCATAGTGGACAGTCAAACAGACCAGTATTAGCAAACTAGTTACTTAACGATTGGGTCATTTTCGTTAACATGTCGACAAATAAAATATAATTTAATACTTTTTTGATTTAACCACATAACTGTATTATAACAAACCCACCCAAACTTTAATCAACCTTTTTTTAGTGCGCAGTAATTCATATTCTTAATTTCCACAGTGAATTTCCTGTGACGCTAAAATACACTAAACCAGTGTCAATCGTGATTGATTCGGTCACTTTGATTCAATCACTTCATAGGATCGAACGACCGAATTCCGCTTGTTGTAAGGCTCTCTCTGCCGCCCTGACCGGTCTGAAGTGACCGAATATAGGACGAGCGATCGTACCAAAACAAATCGAATTCGCCTTGCGGAATACGATTCATTAAAATGGTTTAAGAATTAAATGCCTGACAGACAGGCCACGAAAAAGGAATGGGAGTCTTGTTATAATTATTCTATAGTATTGAGTTGCGACATCGATCGGTAGATTTGCTTATCTGTTGAATTGAATATTGAATAAAATATCTATACACAGGTATTTAATTTAAAAAACTTAATGTAATACTGGTCAACCCAATACGTATCACCTATTTTGATAAAATCATGATATAATAAAAAGCATAACACAGCTAAATATTATACTAACTAAAACAGCAAACAGAACATATAGACATAACAATAATTCAAATTCAAATGTTTTTGAATCGGTCGTTCGGACTGTTCAGATTCAGTGATGATTCAGAAATTATTCGTCCCTTTTCGAAATCGGTCACTGATTGATTCGGTACTCGTAAAATGAACGATTGACACAACACTAGTTCAAATAAAATTGTAATGCGCAAAAAATAAGTTCTTCTTCTTTACTTTTATGACCAAGACTATCAGGATCATTCGGTAAAAAACAAGTCCCAGTCTTCGAGCTGTCGTTAATGGTATTCAAAAGTAACAAAAAAGCTTATGGCGAAAGCCGCATCATTTCGCTGTTGTAAGGACACCTTTGTTGGGATTCTGTGGTGGAGCATTGCACGCGGCGGTTTAACCTCCTTTCGCTCCCGACAGAATCATTTGTATTCGTCGCCAAAAGGTTGATATTGGTTTCCACAGTGTGGATTTAGTGTTTTGAGAGTTCAGTGTATGTTTTAAAGTGATAATCGTCGTCGGCCCCGTCATTTTTCTTTGTTCAGGCAGGTATGGAGGCCGGATTGGCCCGGATGGTCCGCGGTGGGAGCGGGGGGAAGCCCGATTTTTTTGGTATCTGTCAAAATCATTTTTTGCTAGCTGAGCAAATTTTGATTATATTTTTTCTTCGTGCGTGTTGGTCATTGACCAAAAACGAAAATCCTCGACGGAAGTCGCCAATGGGTAAATGATCCTAGCAGACTCGCCCACAAGTGTTTGTTAACCGCATAATTGTACTTGTAAATCTTTGTTTGATTCTGTGGTGGAGCATTGCACGCGACGGTTTAACCTCCGTTCGCTCCCTACAGAATCCTTTGTAATCGTCCAATAAATTTTGAAATCGGTCTCCATTGGGTGGATTAAGTGTTTTCAGCGTTTTAAAGTGATAATCGTCGTCGATCCCTTCGTTTCTCCCCGTTCACGCCGATATGGAGGCCGGATGGGCCCGGATGGTCCTCAGCGCTAGCAGGGGGTGTCGGTTTTTTTGGTATCGGTGAAATTTGTTTTTTTGCTGGTTAAGAAAATATTGGTTATATGTCTTCTTTGTACGTGTTGGTCAATGACTAAAAGCGAAGATCCTCGACGGAAGTCGGCAATGGGCGAATGACCCTAGCCGTCGTGCCCAACATTTTTTGTGAAGCGCATAATTAACTTAACATCTTTGTTGCTATTGTATTGTGAAGTAAGGTTATTAAATCTAAATTCCGGGTCAAATGTGGCAGAAATGAAAGCCAATTAATAGATTAATTGGTGGGATTTATATATACATGTCTCGCGTCGAGGGTACTTAGTCATTTGAATATCTTGTGTGACTAAAAAATGCCGCCCAGCGCGAAAGACGCGTTTGTAATTCTATTTGATGTTAATACCAAATGCAAAAGCGAAGCCCTGTCAGTGCTATCTCACATTTTGTTTCTAAAAGAGTTATCAGCCTCGAAGGATTTGCCCAAAGTATTTCTTTTGAACACAAGTACAACTGAGAACAAGCAAGGATTTGAAGGCATCGCCTATCTGGATCTACAAGAATTAAAAACTACCATTGTTTTGCAAGAAATATCAAGTTACGGAATCGGCAAAAGTAATTGGCTTGAAGCATTCGAACTTGGTATTGGTGTTTTAAAAGAATGCTATTTAACAAATCAATTTGTGACTCTGCAACTTCTATTGATTACCGACTTCAGTTCAGCTACCGATCAATTGTTAAATGTGTCCAAAAATGTTATAGAAGATATAAATTACTATGACATATTTTTATATATTGTAGGCCCAGATGTAGGCCCATTAAGTACTATAATTTCTCAAAAAGATATAATCAATTGGAAAAACACAATGGTTGGTCACTCAAGTGATTCAAAATTTGCGGCAGTTGCTAATCTAATCAAAAGAACACATCACTCACTGATGTGCGACTACAAATGTGGTGTGCATTTATTCAATTCCTTCAAGTATCAGATGGGCATGCAACCATGGACAATTCCATTAAGTATGGGAAGTTGCCTCGAGTTGCCGGTCCATACTTTAAGGATAATCAAAGAAGAACCTCCATTCAAATTATTGTCAGAAGCAAAGAAAGTTTCGGGTATTGTAAAATGGTAAGTTAATGTTAATTTATACTTATTGTGTTGCTGTTGTCACAACTTTCTAGGGTTTATGCAGATGATGAGGAAACACAAGTTAATTATGAAGATACTGTTGGTGGATTAATCAGACATGGAAAATTTGTGCAAATTGAAACAGATGATATGTTTAAAGTACATGAACCGAGAAGTTTTTCAATTGTGGGATTTACGAGTAAAAAGAATATTCCAGAGGTATAAAACTTAACCAGTAAAGTTTCGCATACTCAATAGTCATAATTTAACTTCTAAGGAATACTGTGCATTGTATTTAAATTTAGCAAGAGACATATTTTCCTTTGTTTTAGTGTTTGTTCCAAACAGACAGTTCCTATTTAGTGTTGCCCAATATGCGGGATCCTGATGGGTTTTCGGAAATCTTCTTCTGTTTGGTAGATGTCTTATCATCAGCTAATAAGTATGCCATTGCCCGAAGAGTGTACAATGCTAACAACAATCCAAAGTTCGTGGCTCTTATTCCAGAGACATTTGAAAATGTGAAGGGTTTTATTATGTTCGAGTTGCCTTATGCGGAAGATGTTGCTTACAACTACTACGAAAAGGATGAGGCAACTGCCAAATTAATTAAACAGGACAAAGAAATATGTGAATTCCTGGAAGGAATGGATATTACCAAACAACACTGCAAAATGGTCATACCATTAGGACCAAGTATGATGGTTGATCCCAGTTGTATTGATATTCTTAGGAAGGTCGAAAGTAAACTCTTGGAAAGTAAGTTTTTCCTTAATATATACCTATGTCTTCAGTTTTAGTTTTAATAGGACATGATAATGTGCTTATCAAATATGCCTCCAACTACTAATGCTATTATGGTATGCAGGTTGTCCCAATAGTGTTAAAAGTTTCAAAACTGATTTTTTAAAAGTACAACATGTATATTATAGCCTTTTTAGATCCTTCAATCAAAATAAAAAAATATTGTAAACAAAACGCATTGGGCGCAATTGGTAACAAGAAAAATTTAAGCTTTTTAGGATCAGTACCTATATAAAAAATAATTCTCTAAAAACCATAAACAGTTTTACAATATGAAAATGTTATTATTAGCTTAAACCGCATTTAACGTAATTTTTTTTATATGTGTAAAGTTTTAACACTGAGACCTAAATATTGTTTGGTATCGAATTGTAAGAACGCACTGCGTTATATGAAAAAGAACAACGAAACATGGAGGACATTGGAGCTGGGACATTGTAAGTTTGATAGTACTTCTAATATTTAAATTACATACGTTAAACGAAATATTAATATTAATATTAATTAATATTAATATTAATATTAATATTAATCGGTCACAAGAGGTTCGTTAATAATTTTATTTAAAAAACAACAATTTATTTCGCTATAAAGATGAGAAATATGACCAAATTTTCAGATCCCATAGGCCAAATAGAGACATGAGTCTTGAACATTTTGTATTCAAACCCGAATACTCTCATGATCCAAGCAAAAACCGTAGACAAAATCACAATAATTAACTTTATAACACTTTATAACTTTATAACACTTATACGTAAATTACGATTTATATTACACTCCGCCTCAACATAGTCGTCATCAAAACAACAATAGAGCTGCGTGTCATTGGCAAATTATTGCATCCTACTGCATAGAACAGAGTTCAAAATGTCAACAGTAAAATTTAAAAAGAGCAATGGCCCTAAAATATAGCCTTGTGGGACCCAAAGAGCAAAGCAACCTGATGGGAATATGTATTACTACGCGATACTGATGAGAAATTATAAAACTTACTTTTAAGCAAACTTTGATTAATGGTATCAAATGCTTTTGAAAAATCTAAAAGTACCAATATGGGGACCATATTTTTGTCACATGCACTGATTATATCATCAACAACATTAGTTAATTTAACCGAAGTACCAAAATGATTCCTCAAGCCACACTACACAGTTGGAATGGTATTATTGTTTACAAAGTAATCGTCTGTTTGAGCATACAAAACTTTCTCAAATATTTTTGGAATTGCTGGTAAAATACTTATTATTCGTAGATCATTGAGATGGTTAGGATTACTTATTTTTACCAGTGGTTTTCCTATTGATATTTTCCATAGATCAGGAAAGTAACTCCTTTCCAAGCAGTTCATAATATATGTTATATATCAATGAAAGGACTACAACATTTTAACATTAGTGGTAAAACTTCGTCGACCGCGGTTGCATTGTATTTCATTGAATTTAAAATTTGATTTACGTCAAACGCTTCGGCCATCCTAAAGGAGAAGTTTATGTGATTTTTGTATTTATGATTTGATTATTATAGTAGTTAATTTGCAGGTCACAGTTTGAAATATTCTGAAGAAATGTAGCAAAGTGCTCATTAATTAAATTCGGATCAGAAATTGTTTGCCGTTATTGCGATATTTCTTTGGGAAAAAATGATAATATTTCTGACAGCTGACCATACTTTTGCAAGGATTATTTTCTGCACATAACTTATTATAATACTTTTTTTCCTCTGCGCACCTCACTCAAAGTAAAATTTCTAAGAAATTTATAATTTTCCAGTCCGCCTATAGTCTACTTATTTTGAACTTTTTTAGAACAGTGTCACGTTGATTCATAAAGATTGAGTTTGATCTTAACCATTGTGCCTTGGGCTTAGCTACGGCTTCTCATATCGTAATCATAGACAATTATAAAAGACCTACCATCTTATGAGAAGGCGGCCAAAAATTTAATGTAATCTAAAAACTACTTAACTAACTATAACTTGATTAATTTAACTGGAACGCCATATTTATTAACTTACCAAGAAACGTACATTTTACAGCCAACATTGCGTTTTCCTAGAATACGCGAAATGGTGGTTTGTAGTGTTATCTAAATAAATGTTTTATTTTATCTACGAATTTAGAAAATAAAATATATATACTCAGGTACTCAATTTGTTCTGATTTTGCTGCAAAGTCTGACTGCATTGATCAATTGCTGAGGCACTTGGGCAGACTATATTATTAAGAGTTGGCCTAGTAAAGGTTACAACTTGAGGCATGTTTCAAAATCAACATGCGCAACAACTAGGCTCTATAAGAAATGACAATTATAATGTACAGAATTTAAAAAAATGAAACTTCAAAAGAATTGTGTTAATCAGGCTATAACGACAACTAACTAATGAAAACTAACCAAAGGTGAAATTTCTTGCAAGTGTTGCCAACTTTGGGATTACAGTGTTAAAAGCGTCTCTAATACACATGTTGATATCATCTGGTGTGGTTGGAAGCGTGTTGTAAAGTGAGGTCTAATAATGTTAAGTCTGGGAGGTTAATTGCTTTGCAATGGTAATGAGGGAGAGCTCTATCCAGCTTATGCCATATTGTAGATAAACGAGACAAAAAATTATATAAGTAAATCCTGCGAAAATGTAAAGAGTTAGTTATACGACTCCCTTGGTAAAAATTTTTGTTCAACACTTTGACAAAACTAAAATTATTTATTAGTTATTATTAGATTGTTTTTGGAATACAAGTGAAAGAAAAAATTACCCAATGACCCTTGGCATTTTAAACACCTTGAAAACGGAATCTTATGTAAAATCCAATTTCAAACAATTTTTGCAAGATACGAGTTATGTTTTTTAAATGGAGCACACTGTAGGTAGGTATTTTTTAAAATTTGATTCCGATTTTCAAGAATACATATAATTCTCTAAATATATATTTTTAAGTAAACAAATAAAAATATAATTGTTTTCCATCTTAATTTTATGCCAGTTAACATGAAATACAAAAAATGGTAAAATTGCCTAAACTGATGTCCACATTTTTCGTATAATTTTTGAATGTTCTTTTGGGAATTTAGAAGAATATTTACTCTAGAACGTAAAACCAGTTTTTTTTATACAGTGAAAGTTTGAAGATACCATGCATATTTTTTAAAAATTTGATTGGTCCTTTCCAAAAATATATAATGATTAGGGAATATTCTCAAAATTTCCACAATATATTTAAAAAAAGAGCATACGGTACGACCGTTGCCTTTTTTTTTTAAATTGTCTGTTACAATTACATATCTAGACAGAACTCCTCGCTAACATCGTTAAACTACGTTTTTATATGTAGAAATAGGACTCTGCTGTGTCAGCATTCTTGGATCTTCGCTAGTGAGATAACTGTACTCTAGATTAGATTTTTAGATTTTGTATGGTGTAATCTTTTTTTCTAATAATAATAATATGGAATAAAATTAGGATCGAATTGAATAATAGTACTAAAAAAATATTTTAAAAGAATTATTTTTTCAAAGCGTATAAAAAGCAGCACAATCACAATTTTAAAAAATGTGTATCTTAAAAGCATATATTTTACAACAAATTCGAACACGCTTACGTAAAAAGTTCTATAAATTCCGCTTTCATCATCTCAATATGATAAAGGGTAATTGAAATGGCCAAATTTTCTATTCTAATTATTTTGAAAACAGCGTCTTGTATTTTACGAAACGTGAGCGCAGTATTGCTCTATCTCTAATAATGATTGAAGAACTACGAAGAATGGAAACTAAGTAGATAAATAAAATTGTCCTTCTGAAGTTCTTTATCTTTTAACTTAGAATAAATTTTCATCTCGAAGATTATTCGAGATTTTCGTTTAACAATATTTTCAAGGTATTCCGGAATTTTTCTTTTCGATTGGCGTCAGCAGTTTATTTTGTCCATCATCGTTAGCAAAATTAATTGAAATTCTACTCAATACGGTGAGCAAAGTGATTCAAGCGTGATCAATCGCCGGAAACTGACATTGACAACGCCGGGGTATTAAGTTTTGCTATTTTTCTTTGTAGGGCCCTCACAGTTTTTGAAAATTGAACCAACTTCTCTGGACACGCAGATGAGCGAGGCCTTATTGTCTTGTTGGCCGCAACGGGAAAAGGTTGAGTTGAAAAAAGAAGAAATTGATATGGGCGACGATTTTGATGAAATTGGCGATTTTTCATTCGAGTAAATTTGTTTATAACTCACCAATTAACATCACAGTGTGACAAATTATAAATTCGCTTGACCGTTACTTGCTTACTCGAAACGAGAGCGTGGAATTTTGTAGGTGTAACCAATTGTTTTATGTTGCCGCGCTTCTTGTTCATAGCTTGGAGGCGTAGAAGTAAATTATTGTTTACCTTTAAGAATTATAACTTATTTAAATTAAATCTCTATCTGTAAAATATAGATAGTTTAGAAAAAGGACCTTTGTTTTTGTCTAACATAAACAGCAACAAATAAACTCAATTTCAGTTTCAGTTTATTCCATAAAATAAGAATATTAAAAAGCTTTTGAATTTTGGGAATGAACTTACATCCGAAAAAGTGTTATACTACATTTTCATCTTAAAATTGGACCAATTTTAGCTAATTAGTTACCTGAATTTGGATTAGGATTTAGCTTTAGGACCCGCAACCACCCGTGCACCCGTGATATATTCTAACAAGGGTATGGACGCCATCCCGAGTCACTATTCTGGAATTTTAGGGAATATCCTGTTTCCCTAAGACAGGAGGACATTAAATAAATCACCAATTAAAGAGCTTTTATTTCAATCATAGTTTCAAATTAGTACACCCACCTATGAAACACGTTTTGGATATGTTCTTGTCATATTGCAGCATTTTTGCTATCAGTCACTTTTCTCGTACAAAAGAAGCAAAAATAGTAGTAGTAGTGGCAGTACAAGACACACGAAAAAACGAGGTTAAACACTACTGAAGCGATTATTTATTGTAACCATATAGTAACTAATTGGGCGGTCAAAGTCAAAGACATTAAGATTAATTTTTCAAAGAAACTTCCACGGGCTACTGTAATACTTTTTATAAAACTTCTGGATTCCTCCTGCGTCGGATTTTGTTGAGTCGAAATTGCTGACGTTTCGCCAATCGTCCTGTTGGTTTCTTCAGAGCTTGACTGAAACTGGCTCGTATTTTACTCGGTACCTGCTTATGAATACATTGGAGAGACCGTACGAAAAATATCAACAAGGCTCAAAGAACACAAAAGAGCCTTAAGATAAGACAAATAAGCTCATCAGCTGTTGCCGAACACACTCATGAAACCGGACATAAAAATTTTATTCGATAAAACTAAAATTCTTGCATGTAATCAGTTCTTCTACCAACGAAAAATCCGAGAGTCTATAGAACTCTATAAACAACCTAACAATCCTAGCCGCGATTAACTGTCACCAATTTGGGAATCAGTCAAACAATATATAAGCAGGTGCAGAGTAAAATACGAGCCAGTTTCAGTCCAGCTCTGAAGAAGCCAGCAGGATGATTGGCGAAACGTTAGCAATTTCGACGCAGGAGGAATCCAGACGTTTTGTAAAAAGTAAAAAAAAAATTACATTAAGAATGCAAGTAAAACAAGCACGTTTGTTTCCGTTTTGGAGCGCCACTATCGGAAAATAAATTCTCGGATATCTATTTATTCACCATTTAACCATATAGCTACTCGAGATGTAGAGCAATAATGGTGGCAACTTATGAAGGAATTATTAAAAAAAATTGAGAAGGTTCATTCAATATGGGCCTGCGCGAGATTTAAAATTCGTTTTTAACCAATAGCCTTGAGGCATTAAACAACCGACATGGTCGCTCGTTGACAGGCCGTCAATAGGTTTAGATGCGGCATGTTAGCAGTAGTATTTTCTCAAAATATGCCTAGATCTCGTTAAATGTTCTGGGAAAACGGGTTAAGTGTGTGGAAATCGCTGTTTAGAAAGTAAATGGTATAAAGTGCCGGTTAGTGCGCATGCGCGAAAAATCATAACCTTTTCACTCACTGCAGCCTGCGACGAATGAATTTTTACTGTAGTAGGGCCACCGTATTATCTAATAGCTATATACATATCACTATCAGATAATATATTGCCGTTAATATATGCACGTTATTCACCATATTTTACTAGTAAGTATTTTTATTAAAAATTTTCGTTTCTCACAAAGTTGCAAGGTTCGCACTTTTAAGTTCACATGCAGTATCAGCATGTAAAAAAATATAAATATAATTTTACACACAGATCTTAGCTCGCTTATGAATAAAATTGTTTTGAAAAACGAAATTTTTAATTTTGGAACAAAAGCTGGCGCACTCGGTAGGATTTGCCAGCGGATAGTTCGTGTGAAGGGAGCATATTGGTCCGTCATCGTTTCAACAGTTTGTGGCAAATTCGAACCCGCAAGTGAAAGCAAGTGTATCTCACTTACTAGGGAACAGGAACATTGTTCGAAGTCCTATAACCGTCCTGGGCGTCATTGGTAGTTTCCAGGCAAGAGACAACATCGCTCGTCCTATTGGGCCTAGTATAGGAATGAAAACAGCAACAGCAATACTGTAAGTGCCAAATTTCCTTTCACTTTTCCGCGGATTGTCATATTGTGTATTCTCTGTTTTTTAAAATAAAAACGGATACCCTAATTTTAAAACTTAGTAATATGAGTTTAAGTGATTTACATAACGAGTCTAAATTGTTTGATAACGACGTAAACGATATAGAAATGACTCAATCAAACCCAAACTACTCCTTGATAAAATATCAGGCCGACAATATTCCGATATTCGATGAAAATCAAAATCAAATAAATCGCTTCATAAATTCTTGTGAAAATTTTTACAATAATCATAAAAATAGTACTAATGCCAATGCTCCTGTAAACGTCCAGCATTCGATACTATTCTAAAAAAATTGCTCGGTAGAGCCGCGGATCTTATTAAACAAGCAATCATTTTAACTTGTGCCACAAAGTTTCGGGTGTGATATGTGTGTTTCTACCGAAGCACACCGGGTCCACACACTATACTGTACTAACGGATTGTATTACTATACGTGAAAAACAAAAGTACAAATTGCATGGACCGGTCGTACCGATTCTGGTCCAGCAGATCGAAATCCAACAAAAAAATCAAATAGCACGTCAACACAGTACGTCCCTTAAAAAGGAACTGGCCACTCCGCGCTCCTTCGCCGACTTCGTCTCCGACAATTGGCAAGAGAGGGCACTCCGCACATCACCACCACACAGTATACACTACGACCAATTTTTAAACCATCACACGGGTTTATTGTTTTCAAAAATTAATATGTCCGATGATTCTAGAGAGTTAAAAATATTAAAAATTACTGAATACTTTTAAAAACTTTCATTAATGGTCTAAGTTTCCACATGCAATTAGTGGTTAGGTTGAAAAAGCTAGTCTTTGAAAGAAGCAATGAAGAAGAAAATTTCATATATTATAAAAATCTCGATTTCGATACAAAAAGAACCCCAAATATTAATTTACATCCAAAACCTCAAAACAAAACACAGTCTTTAATACACGCTTTTTACCATTCTTTAATACACGCTTTTTACCATCCCAAATTCGTCCAGATTCTCCAGCGGGCAATAATCAATCGTCAGGTTTTAGTCAATGGAAACAATAACAACACTCAACAGAGACCTATTTTTAACAAACAAAATCGACCCAATTTTAACAATGAATTATTCCAAGGTCCTCAATTTAGGCCTCAATATATTTTTAGATCTCCATTTAGCAACCAAGATACCCCTTTTAATTCTCGAAATTCCGGCGTATCTAAAATGCAAAAACCTGAACCGATGGATAACTCTTCGGGTAAATGCTAGAATAAATAACACGGCAAAATGTTCAGGCAAACCAAAATGGCGAATTGTAATCGATTATAGGAAGTTGAACGAAAAAACTATTAGCTATTATCTTGGTTCGGGTTTAAAGGCCGTCGTCGATTGGAATTACTTCCTAACGTTTCGCTAGCACGAGTGGCGAGCTTCTTCAGAGGTCCTTCCATCTCCGATGTTGGACGTAGGACGTCTACGTCTACGTCCAACATCGTCTACGATTGGTTATTGCTGACATTGTGTACAGCGTTTAAGGGTAAAAGCTGTTTCCCCGCATTTCTTCTTGAGTGACATAATACAAAAGTTTTAAAATAACGGCTAGCTCCTTTTCACTAAATCTTTGAGGCATTTTGAAACGATTTAATTATCCGCTAATTTTAAAAATTTTGATCTAGACGCGGCTTTTGACACGGATTCCATATCTGGCAAACCAAATTCCAAATCACGACATCCAGTAATCAACTAGATAAAAATGTATTGCAGTCTGTGCACGTCTAGAACTGAAATTTAAATGAAACTTTTTTTATTTTTCATGCGATTGTCGTCATTTATTTAACATTAATTTTAATTGCTGTTTGTTAGTATCGCACGGGCTAAATCAAAATGTTGTTTTTGCTGCAGCCTCAAAACAACCCGTCGGAAAACTAAGAGAATAATTTGGTTTTTCTACTCAAGTCTGTAAAATACCTAATTACCCACCGATCTAGCGTGAGAAAAGCGTCATTTTACTATGTCAGTTTCGTTTCCCACGGATTCGAGCCACTTCGGACATTTCCGGGATTTTACTGCACGGATTTGGGAGCAATCGGATGTTTTCGGAGATATTTCCCACGCTTTGAATTTTGATGTTTTTCAATTCTGACGGTCATATCAGTGAATGTATTCGTGTTGTTTTGCGAAAATGTACCCAAAAACTAACGGTCGTAGAAAAAGTATAGTATGCAACACGTTCGGTAAACTTTTTAACTCACTCGTTTCTTAAAGACTCAAAGATTAAAACTAAACTGAACTTTAGTTTTAATCTTCTCCTGAAGATGCCACCTTGGTTGGCGAAACGCGCGTCGAGTACGTAAAATTGAGTTTCGGTGTGTGGTAAATGCGTTATTGTGTGTTAGTACAGTGCCGAAGGTTGCAGTCAAGAGTTTGACTGCTAGAGTGAATTCAAAAAAGAAATACATATATACAATTTGCTAGTTACTAGTTTTATGATCGGTCTCTATTATGATAAATGTATTGCTTAAGTATTTGTTTGAATGAAGTTAGTGAGGTGATTGATCTCAGTTGGAGAGGGAGTTTGTTGTAAGCCTTGATAGCATTGTGCGCTGAAACTGTGCTGAAGTATGTTTGGGAACGGTAAACAGCGCCCTATGGCGAGCATTAACCGAATGAATATCTGATCCACGAGTAAGTTTGTCAAAAAGATACGTCGGACGTTGTAGAGATATTACTTTTTTAATTAAGACTAAAAGCTGCGACTTAAAACGTTCGTCTAATGTTAGCCAGCGAGAATCCTCTAGGCGTAAATATATGATCAAATTTGCGAATATTGTATGAGAATCTGAGACAGGCATTCTGAAGACGCTGAAGACTAACCTTCTCCTTTTGAAGTAGGGCAGGCCGGTAAACTACCATACAGTATGAAATTGTGGGGAGAATTAAGGAATCGGTAAGTTTTAACTTAATTGCTGTGTCCAAAATATCTTTATTACAGTAGAGAATCCGAACCTTGTAAAACGATTTCTGGATCATTGAAGATACGTGACCTTCAAAACGCAGATTATTATCCAAATGCAGACCCAGATTTTTGCCTTCCTTGGCAACCGGCCGTAAGAGAAGGTCATTTAAGTAAAT